TACCCAAGAGCACTGGATGCTCTGGAGGGGCATCACACTAACATACTCCTTTGGCAGTGCTGTCACCGAATGTAAGGAGGAATGAGGGAAAGTCCACCATAAGTACCTATTTCAAAGCATTTAGTGCCAAATTAATGACGCACACAAACTATCGTTTTAAATTTTGCAAGTCTACTTACAAATTACCTAGTTCATCAAATATGGGTTTGGTTACACTATGTGATCATACCGCCTACCAAAAAGGGAATTTGGGAACACCCTTAGAACATGCAGAGTAAAATACAAATTAATTAAACAGCTGGCACACAAAAAAACATGTATGCTGGGCTATTTAATAAGGCAGTGGTTTCCAAACCAGTCCTCAAGTCACTCCTATCAGTCCAGGATTTAGGGATTACCCAGTTGTGTAAAGGGTGTTTTTTTTTTTTCCTCTTTCTTTTTTTCTAAAAACACCTTAGACAAAATTGGGTTATCCCTAAATCCTGGACTCAGAGGCGTAAATAGGATCCACCAGGCCCGTTGGGAAAAGAAACCCATGCAGACAAAGAGATACACATACAGACCCACATGCAGACAAACAGATACACAAAGAGATATACATATAGACCCACATGCAGACAAACAGATACACAGACAAAGTGATATACACACACACACGTACTCATACAGACACACATACATACAGAAATACTGATACAGACATTCTCTCTCTCACACACACACATGCAAACTGTTAAAAAATGTAGTCACCCAAACTGTTAAAAAAAAATGTAGTTTTCTTTTTAGGTGCATGAGGGTGACTTCCTTGGTGTACAGTGGTTGCTTCATGCTGATTTGAGTCAGAGCTCCTACTATGACTCCCTCCTCTCCTCCCCGGAGGTCTCCTCCTGCACGGTGCTCGACTACCTCCCAGCTCAGATCTCATCACTGGGGCCCGATCACGCTCTTAAAGGTGCCGCTGACCGGGCCCAGGAAATCCATTGCCATCAGGTGGCCCCAAGAGCATGGGCCACCCGATGGGCCCCTTCAATGCGGCCCTGGCTGTTGTTCTGCACAGCTGCGGCTGCACTACAATGCCAGCGGGCACCCTGGTCACAGGGGTCGACAGGACAGCAGGGCCCAATCGCAGCTGCGACCCCTGCGGTAGTTCCGCCTCTGCCAGGACTGGTAGGCAAGCCTTGAGGACTGGTTTTGAAACCACGGTACTAAGGTAAGAATTTCAAGTGAACTTCATGTATGCAGGGTTATTTTCAAAAAGTGAGATTTTAAAGAAGTGAATTTCAATTTTAAGGCCAGAGTAGCTGAACTACAAATACACCAGACTTAGAGAATGTTTCCAGTTTGCCTATTTTCACCTTAAATTAAAAAATCACTTTAAATTCTAAATTTAGTAAATAACCCTGACAGTTATAAATCTTACAAAGCTCTCTAGAAGCAGTTTAAGCAGTACTTATTACAGTAAGCATGTTTTTCTCCCATGTTAAAAATTTGTGTAGTACCCACTGGTATTGGGATATTTCCAAAAGATAGACTTAAAGGAACAGTAAAGGGCAGTGGTGTTCTAACATGGGGTGGGGTGGGGAGCAGATTGGGAATGTGCCTGGGGAAGTTTCAGTCTTAAAGGAGCACTATAGTGTCAGGAAAACACTTGTATTCCAGGCACTATAGGGTCATTAGGTGCCCCCCTCCCGCTGGGCTGCAGGGGTTAAAACCCCTTCGGCCACTTACCTTTCTCGAGCGCCGGCTGGGGAACTCTCCACCTCTTGCCGACGTCATATCAGAATGCGCAAGCGCGGCAAGAGCCACGCGCGCATTCAAACCGCCCATAGGAGAGCACTAATCAATGCTTTCCTATGGACATCCAGCGTCTCCTCACAGTGAGAATCGTGGAAGCGCCTCTAGCGGCTGTCAGTGAGACAGCCACTAGAGGCTGGATTAACCTTCAGTGAAACATAGCAGTTTTACTGAAAATGCCGGCCATGCTTCTGCCGAAATAATCCATCCACCTCACAGGTGTGGCATATCAAGATGCTGATTAGACAGCATGATTATTGCACAGGTGTGCCTTAGACTGGCCACAATAAAAGGCCACTGTAAAATGTAGAATGTTGTCCGTGTGAAAATCCACCATTTGGTTTTGAAGGGCTTCGCCCCAAATCTCCAGGGAAACCGCAATGGGAAAAAGCTCCGAAAAGGATAAATTCCGGATCACGTCCAAGCCCAGCCATCTTACCAGCCATGCTTCCGCGCACCATTGACCTTTGAAAACCCCACCGACCCAGATGCGTCTGTGAATAGGTCCAATGCCGAGTTCGACGTAGCCTCCTGCAGCCAGCAGGAACGCCCATTGTAGCACTCCAAAAAGGAACTCCAGACCTGGAGATCCGCACACAGACGACGTGTGACCCGAATATAGTGAATGGGTTCTCAAATACCCACCGTCGAGAAGGACAGCGGCCTGCAAAAAGCCCAACCCATGGGAAGGACATGGCACGCAAAGGCCAAGTGCCCAAGCAGCTGCATTTGCTGCAACTGAAGCTTCCTGGCCCTGCGCACTAGGTCCACCATTCGCAGGAGAACCGATCATTTTTCTGCTGGCAAACGAAAAACCATCTCCCTGGTGTAAATTTCTATACCTAGAATGGACAAGACCGTAAGCGAACCCACCATTTTGGACTCCGCCATGGGAACCTCGAAATTCGCTGTAACCAACCGAAACGACCCTAACAAATGTTCACATTCCCAGCAGCCCAGCGAACCAACAAATAAAAAATCGTCCAAATAATGGGTAACTGCCGACAAACCCGACGACTGAACTATAACCCATTCCAAAAAAACACAAAAACATCTCAAAGTAATAACAAGAAATAGAAACAGCCCATAAGCAAACACATGTCGTAGTAGAAAAAACATTGGAAAAAAACAGCCCAACAAGTGAAAACAGGAGGGGTGAACCGGCAACAGACGGAAAGCCGATGTAATGTCGGATTTTGCCAAGAGCACACCGGGCCCGGCCCGTCAAACCAATTCCAAAGCCCTGTCAAACGACGCATAGCAACACCTCTTTCCAGATGTCATCGTTAACAGACAATGTGATGCCTAGGATACCGGATGAGCCACGGACCTTACTATGTCCACCGGTGTCCTCTCCTCTAGGAACGTCGTTGTGATTTGAGCCCTTACCGAAGAGCGGCTTGTCGTTTCTTTCGGATGCGCTCCTCTACAACGGGCACATTAATGCAACACGTGCCTTTTTTGTGACCTGCCAATGAGCCGGAGCCTCCTCCAGCTGGCCCAGGAAAGGGGGGAGGTCTACTGGGGGTCATGATTAAAAGCCACAAGCTGCCGTCCTGGACACTGAAATGAATTCCATGCCGCCATCTTTCGGCGAAACTGCTGGTTGTAACAATACCAGCATTGCACTCCGTAGACCTTATATGCCCATAGATTAAGTCTAAATAGCCAAAGAGCGACGGCACCTTTTCTGGAAACAGGCGCACCAGGATGCTAGCAAAAACATTAAACCCCTGAAGCCAATTACCACTACGCCTCTGACAGAAGTTGAAACATTGTATCCCCCTAGGACCATCCCCTTATCCCTGTCATCAGTCATGTCCTCCCTTCCTTGTCTTTCCAGGGAGGTTCTTAATTCTCTCCGGGTTATTCAAGAACTCTAAATATTAGCAAATGGAAAGGCAAAACCGAGGCTAAAATAACTAATTTGTAAAAACTCTTTAACGTGGTAAAAGACACAGATTGGCTAATTTATCCTTAAAGGGACACTATAGTCACCAGAACAACTATATCTTAATGTAGTTCTGAAGAGTATAGTCAGCCCTGCAAGCATTTAATTGGATAAAAGGCAGTGTTTACATTACAGCCTAGGGACACCTCCAGTGTCCACTCCTCTGACAGCCCCTAGAGGTGCATGGAGACACTGAACTTGTTGATTGGCTATGGCAGCGTTTCAACTTGTTGATGTGTTTGGCCCCGGCCCACCTCTTTGGCTGAGATCATCAGAATTGACTATCTATGGGAAAGCATTGTGATTGGCTGTGATCAACAATTCTGATTGTATCAGCCAAAGGGTCGATAGGGGTGGGGCCAGACCCGAGTGGCGTTGGAAGAAAGATTACGTTTTGTTTTACTTGTTTATGGGGTACGGGGGGGGGGGGCAGAGACCCTACATTTGTATTTACATGCTTGTATTCCTGACCCTATAGTGTTCCTTTAATTTTGACATGAGTCAACGATGCAGGGTTTAGTTCATTTCCTGAGAGGGTTGTACTGTTCCTTTAATTTATACCCCCAGTCTGTAAATGCAACCTTTACACAACCAATGTTATTCATTAACCCCTTAAGGACACATGACGGAAATATTCCTTCATGATTCCCTTTTATTCCAGAAATTGTGTCATTAAGGGGTTAATGAGTGAATTGCTGACAATTCAAACTGGGTTATTCACTACAGTGAGAATTCAAGGTAAATTTAAAGTGAAAATAGCCAAACTGGCTTTTCTCTGTCAGCTATACTTTCCATTCAGCTACTCCGGCCTAAAACTTGACATTCACTTTCTTTCACACTTTACCAAATACCTCTGAAGAGTTATTAACTGAATGTCAAATGTTGCTGGGTTATTCACTAAAGGGAGAATTCAAAGTGATTTCAAAGTGAATTTCAAATTTAAGGCCAGAGTAGCTGAACTGAGCCGATTTTATTTATTTTTTATATACCAGTTTTTGAACTGGTTGAATTTCCCTTTGAATACACGTTAAATTCTCACTTTAGTGAGTAGCCCTATTAGACTAAAATAGCCAAACTGAAAATATACATCGACTTGGATAGTGTTTCCAATATGACTATTTTGAACTAAAATTTCAAAATCCACTTTAAATTGTCGACAACGAATCCTGTCAGACATTTTACGTGTTTTTGTTTTGCTGCTGCAAGGTGTGATTACAGCCAGATCAGAAGAGGTTAAAGAGCACCAGTCACATGACTTCACAAGGCGGTAGTGCTTAAACAATGGGAATTTCCCCAGGACGCTCATTGCAGATTGTGGTTTCAAGCAATAGTAAGACTGGAAGGCTCCACCTCGCCTGATCCTCAGCTGTTTGTACAACTCAAGGAAGAACTGAACAGGGACTTAACCATTTCCTGTTAATATAAATGCAGGTATCTACAGTATGTGAGTTACCTATGAGTTAGAGCAAATTATGCATGGTTTATAATGACCAGTTTCCCCGCAGGATTATAAAATCTGCATAATTCTTTAATTTAGGGTTAACGTAGTTGACTATTCTGGAACTTTAGCACCTGTGTATTATACTATGTGAAACGTGGTTAGCAATGTTGTTAGTGAAGTGATAATTGTCAAAACTTCACAGCGAATTTAAAATTTTAAAGCAGGCAAACTGAAAGGACATTTTGACCATAAAATTTTAATTCACTGTCACTCCAGATGTTGTGGACTTCATCTCCCCTGATGTTTTGTCAGTATTATGGCTGTAAGAGGATTATGGGAGATGTCCACATTTGGGTTGCCGAAACCCCTGCTTTAGTGTATAAACCTGGACGTGTTTGAAGTGTGTACTCTTAAAGGGCAAGTGTCACCTCAAAACTATTTTTAATATAGTTTTAATATAATAATCAATTCATCATGTTTTCAAAGGATATAGATTTATTTACTTGTGCACAAATCCCTTTTAGCTGAGCTGAACCTATCAAATGCCTGTCCATCCCCGAATGAATGAATTGATTTGTCATGCAAATCGGAACGAATTGATTAGTTTATGTATGGATGATAGGAATTTGATTTGTTTGTGCGGCTGAAAGGGATTTGTGTACAAGTCTAGTGGATGCCCGTATTAATTATTGAATTCAGGTGTCTCACTCATTGCTAACAGGTGCATAAAATACAATATGTAGACACGAAATCTCCAGAGATAAACATTGGCAGTACAATGGGTTGTACTGAAGAACTCAGTAATTTTAAATGTGGAATTGCCATAGCATGCCACAAGTCACTTTATAAAACTAATGCCCTACAAGATTTGCCTGGGTTAACTGTAAGTGCAGTTATTGTGAAGTGGAAGCATCTAGGAATCACAGCCCAGCTCTGAAGTGGTAGACCATACATGCTCAGAGCGGGGATAGCAAATGCCTAAAGAACCACTACAGTCACCCTGGATCTCAGTAAAGGGTTCTTTTAGGTTTAACCCTTCAATGTGAAACCGTGGGTTTTTTTATTTTATTTTTATTGTTTTTTTTAAGACACTGCAGTGTTTACATTCCTGGGTTAAAGGAACACTGAGCACCATAACAACTTAATGGAAATGGTCCCTTTAGGGTTTACTGTTCACGGACGGTCTAACCACTTAGTCTTTGTTCCAGTGTTGGACCTCACTGCCCCATGTCCTTATGTTTGCTGAAAAGCTTCAAAACTGGAGACTATGGCAACCACTTGCAGGGGCAACAGAGATCTCACTTTTGGCTCTTCATGTATAGTCAGTCAAACATGTCAGTTGTCTTAAAGGACCACTATAGTGCCAGGAAAACATACTCGTTTTCCTGGCACTATAGTGCCCTGAGGGTGCCCCCACCTTCAGGGTCCCCCTCCTGCCCGGCTCTGGAAAGGGGAAAGGGGTAAAAACTTACCTTTTTCCAGCGCTGGGCGGGGAGCTCTCCTCCTTCTCTCCTCCTCCGATCAGCCCCGTCGGCTGAATGCGCACGCGCGGCAAGAGCTGCGCGCGCATTCAGCCAGTCTCATAGGAAAGCATTTACAATGCTTTCCTATGGACGCTGGCGTGCTCTCACTGTGAAAATCACAGTGAGAAGCACGCAAGCGCCTCTAGTGGCTGTCAATGAGACAGCCGCTAGAGGGAATGGGGGAAGGATTAACCCATTGATAAACATAGCAGTTTCTCTGAAACTGCTATGTTTATAAAAAAATGGGTTAACCCTAGAAGGACCTGGCACCCAGACCACTTCATTAAGCCAGGGCCGGCGCTACCTGTAAGGCGGACTAGGCAGCTGCCTAGGGCGCCCCTTGGGAGGGGGCACCGCCAGGAGCGCCGCCCCCCCATGCTGCAGCCGCCCGAGGGCTCTGTAAAGAGCCTCAGGCGGCTGCAGCTTTGCCCGGGCGGTGCGTCTATGAGGGCGGACCGCACCGCCCGGGCGCAGCCTGAGGAGAGGCTGACAGGAGGGAAGCGCTCAGCGATCCCTCCTGTCAGCTCCCTCACTGCAGCGTGGCCGAGCCCTGTATGGCATGGTCCGACCGGTACAGAGAGCAGCTGTCTCCTGTACCCGGCCGGACTAACAGGAAGTGAACACTGAGTGTTCACTTCCTGTTAGTCCGGCCGGGTACAGGAAACAACAGCTCCCTGTACCGGTCGGACTATACTGGGCTCGGCCACACTACCACACAGGTAGGGGAGGGAGGGGGAAGAAAGAGGGAGGAAGGGGGGAGAAGAAAGAAACAGAGAGGGAGGGAGGGGGAGAAGAAAGAAACAGAGAGGGAGGGAGGGGAGAAGAAAGAAACAGAGGGAGGGGGAGAAGAAAAAAAAGAGGGAGGGGGGAGAAGAAAAACAGAGAGGGAGGGGGGAGAAGAAAGAAACAGGGAGGGAGGGGGAGAAAGAAACAGGGAGGGAGGGAGGGGGGAGAAAGAAACAGGGAGGGGAGAAGAAACAGGAGGGAGGGGGGGAGAAGGAAACAGGAAGGGAGAAGGAAACAGGAGGAGGGAAGGGGAGAAGGAAACAGGAGGGAGGGAAGGGGGGGAGGAAGGAAACAGGAGGGAGGGAAGGGAGAAGGAAACAGGAGGGAGGGAGGGGGGGAGAAGAAGGAAACAGGAGGAGGAGGGGAGAAGAAGGAAACAGGGAGGAGGAGGGGAGGAAGAAGGAAACAGGAGGGAGGGAGGGAGAAGAAGGAAACAGGAGGGAGGGGGGAGAAGGAAACAGGGAGGGAGGAGAAGGAAACAGGGAGGGAGGTGGCAATAAACAGGAGGGAGGGAGGGGAGAGGAAGGAAACAGAGAGGGGGGGAGAAGAAGCGAAAACAGGGAGGGAGGGAGGGGGGGAGGGAAGGAAACAGGAGGGAGGGAGGGGGGGAGGGAAGGAAACAGGAGGGAGGGAGGGGGAGAAGAAGGAAACAGGGAGGGAGGGAGGGAGGGGGGAGAAGAAGGAAACAGGGAGGGAGGGAGGGGAAAGAAACAGGGAGGGAGGGGGGGAGAAGGAAACTGACGGGAGGGGGGAAGAAAGAAACTAACAGGGAGGTGGGAGACATTGACAGGGAGGGGAATTGACTGGGAGAGAGAAATTGACAGGGGGGAGTGACAGGGGAGGGAGGGGGAATGAGAGTAACAAGGGAGGGGGGGAGAAGAGAGTGACAAGGGAGGGGGGAGAGATTGACATCCATCACACACACACACACACAATCACACACAATGCACCCCTTACACACAAAGACAATGAACCCCTTGCACACAGAAAAACACACAATGCATTACACACACAATGCATTACACACACACACGCAATGCAACCCTTACACACAATGCATCCCTTACACACACAGAAACACACAATGCATTCCTTACACACACTCAATGCACCCCTTAAACACACTCAAAGCACCCCTTACAGACTCACACACTTCATCCCTTACATACACAGAAACACACCTTGCAGCCCTTACACATACAAACACAGATTCACACAATGCATTCCTTACACACAAATCAGGACATCCCCTACACACTCCACCCCCTGTGAACAAACTCATTGGTGGAACATGAAGGTGGACCCTGGGACCCAGACCTTGAGCTGTGTAAAGGGCCCCCAAAAAATGGAGCTGCTTCTCGTTCTCCCAGAACATTGATTTTTGTGACCACAGTTACAAACAGCCTCCAGAGATCCTGTTATACACCAGACCAGTGGAGCCAGACTGCAGCTAGAGCCCATCATCATCCTCATCTGGTTGTAAGTAGGTAATCTAGTATATTATTCGTGGCACTAATCTCTAATTTACCTCACATTAAAGAAACACTATAGTCCCCAGAACCACTGCACCTTAATGTAGTGGTCCTGGTGTCTATAGCCTGTCCCTGCAGGCCTTTTAATGTAAACACAGCGGCACTGCAGCACTAGCGTTAGTTAACATGGCAGGTCATATGGGTGGGGCATTGTGATGTCACGGGGGGGGGGGCCGCAAACTTTACTTTTGCCTAGGGCGGCAAAAATCCTTGCACCGGCCCTGCATTAAGCTGAAGTGGTCTGGGTGCCTAGAGTGGTCCTTTAACTAGCCCTAGTCCCAGTTTGGCTCAGACTCAAGATCTAACCTTTTAAATGACTAGTACATTCCTTTCTAACATTAGAACCTCCATAAAAGAATATTACTCTGGCTGTACTCACTAATCCGTATGTTGTAATGCCTTAAATTTCATAGTTCCCTCAACCAGTTAAATCAACCACCATAAGCACTACAGCCAACTGGGACCCAGGTTATTTGTCATGCTCTGTATCTACAGAGAGTTACTGTACAAGCCCGTGCATGCTCAAGGAATCCTTCCATGGTGCCATGTATGCAAATGTGTAGCGTGGGTGTTAAATTGATCTGCTTGTGTGCCTGGATAGTCAAGCATGCAATGTAAAGGGGAAAAAAAAAACATTAAAGGAACACTACCAGCACGGCATCCATTATTGTGCAAGACAAGCCTTGGTGCCCTCTAGAGCCAGATTTGGGCAACTCTTGGAGTCCTGGACTCTTTCTGTTCATGTTGTGTGTGGCGGCTGAGTTTTATATGTGTGGGGGACACTGAGTGTTGTGTATGTATGAAGGAAGTTGAGAGCTGTTTGCAGGGTTGAGTGTGCATTTGTGTGCTGATTGAGTTTTGTGTGTGGTGGGTGAATTTTGTGTGTTGAGGGGTCGATATTGTCGGGTGGAGGGTAGTCTGTATGTGGTGTCTGAGTGTAGGGGAAAGTGTTGTTTTTTTTTATTATTTTTTTTTTATTTGCCCCCTCCTGCTTAACTTTTGACGGGAGGTGCATGTTATCCCTATTAGTCCAGTTGATACCACCGCCTTAGTGGTCTGGTGGGGGAGTGTTTGGTGCAGATCACTTTACAAGTTCTTTTCTGGTTCCACCGCTTGGCCAATGACTCAGAGCTCTGGCACTCTGAGTCATTGAAAAGGTCTGCAACCACAAAGAAGCTCTTAAAGTGATCTGCACCGACAGAAGTCCATCCATGAAATGAGGAGAGAAATTAAATCTATTGACCTTCCTGCCAGTGCAAAGAAGGTCCACACAAACAGAACACACATGCTCCAGACCCAGATAAGGGCCCACCTTGACTCGTCTGAGTCTGTGCCTTAGGCAGTCACCTATGTTGCCTTATGGGTAGTCCAGCTTTGGTGACATCCCACAGTAAGTAGTCAAACCATTGATAACTTGGCTAGGTGCCTCTGGGTGCCCATGCTGCATTTGGTCATTATCTACAGGAGAAAATGCACGGCTGATCCAGGACTGCGCTTACTGACCGAATATGCTCAGCTGACACTCTCAGCCAATGAGTGCAACCATGCATGGCCTTGCTTGGCTCTGTGGAGCTAATGAGATTTTCCTGCAGGAGGAGCATGGAAGCAGGGGCTCTTAGAATGGGGACTTGGTCGAGCTCAGGTTAGTTGTCAAACTGTACTAAAACAGTTTTACCACTTTTGCAGTTCCTTTAAAAACAAACAAACAAAAAAAAACACCAGTACAGCCAACATTTAGTAAACTGAAGTAACAATTTTGAAAGAAATCTCAAATTAAAGTTAATTTTAGTCTAAATTTAAATACTGCACACTTCCCAACATTGAGCTATATTGAGCCTGGATAGTGGGGGGAAAGTAGGCTTATAAGTGGTGTACCAGCGATATGACTTTTGTCAATGATGATGCCCAAAGGCTTAACTCATGACATTGAAAGGTATGAAACAGGTACTTGGGTGGCCTGTGCCAGTTACACAACATGCATCTAATGACGCATTTATTCAGTGGGTTATGAGGACTTTCTGGTGACTCACATCTGAGTGAACCAGTGACCAAACCCAGAACAGCAGGAAAGAACCTCAAATTCCTGACTATTTCCCACAATCCGGGATTGTTGGAAGGTATGTATGTGGGTTTTTATTGCAAGTTGCTGAAACACCCAATTAAATACACTGTCTCCTCACTTACCGACCGAGTTCCGTTCTTACGACTCGGTCGTAAAACAAATAGGTAGGTAAGTGAGGCGCATTCGCACCAGTGTGTGTCTATGTTCAGGGAAATTTACCCAAACGTAAACATACGCACCAGAGCAGGGATTCCTTCTTATCTATGTTCAGGGAAAATTCCCCGAACATAGACCACCTCTCTAACGTGCGAAATCCCTTGAATCCCCACGCTAGGGAGCGGGTCATAAGTGCGAGCCGTCGCAAAGCAAGGACCACCTGTATACATTTCCCAACAATTAAATAACCATGAAACTGTTAAACCCTAATATTCATGAACACTTATGACCTGATCATTTTTAAAAGGTATGGTGCATAATGTATTAGAACACTGGGGCAGAGATGAAGGAAGTAAGTGATGGCTAATAATCATATTTTGAAGGTTGAAAGAATATGTGCCCTGTCCCTTTAAGAGGCATGACATTGTTTCAAAATACTACTTCCTTGTTTCCCTTTTCTTTCATATAGTGTGGGAGTGACAGACAGGGTAACAGAAACCAGGGCAGCTTTGTGCTTGTCTTTTAGCATACAGATTTAATTATCGATCCAACATTCAGGTCGGTATTTTAGGAGTACACTGTCCGAAGCAGACCACTCTCTGCAATAGTGTGTAATTCTATGCACTTTATACTCCTTGTCCTTTCATTTCTTTCTGTGTGTGTTGCATTATGTTTATATCGGGCTTTGGTTTTTATGTTGGTACTTGTATTTTGATTAAATATATTTTCATTGTAATGATACTTCTAATATGATTTGGGTCATACTGACCTGGATTATGTTTTCATTATTCGGTGATTTGCATTGAAAAGAAGAACAGAACAGAGGTAGTTTGAAATGATGAAAATGTGCTTAGTACAAACCTTTGGAGCATACTGTCAATTCTGTGCAGAGATTCAATTTCACCAGTGTTTTTCTTCCTTCTAACACTTCTGCATTCTGGTTTTATTTAGTTCAGAGTTTGAATGGGAATATATTTTGTTAAAAATACTTAGATATATATTGTGCAATCAATTAAGAATCCTTGCCTATATTGGGTACACTTTAAAAAAACGTTTTAAAAAAAAAAATTTTTTTTTTTAATCTATCTGCTAGAGTTACTGATGTCATTTGCACTTGTTTTATCATCATTTTTTGTGTTGCTTGCCTCCTCTAGCATATAAATATAACCATGATTTTGTGGCGTGCTTTTTTTTTTTTTTTTTGTATTGGGAAGTGCATATAAGCACCGCAGCATTAGATTTTTATGTTTGCCACAAATTAGTGAGTAGGTAACCCAATAGTGTTTCATTGTTTAAAGGAGAACTCTGACATTTTAATATGAATATGTGTATGCGTGACTTCCTTATTAGTTAGATTTGCCTTCCTCCCAATACTAAAATAATGACTCTTTTCTCTCCATATAATACGCTCTGCACTGGTCTTGCTGTAGCTCCCCAATCGCCATCACTTTGCAGAAATGCATTAGCTCAGTGCATCTCTATTGCGAGTGTTCTGCGTCTTCATGCTGAACTTCGGTCCTGCAAACATTTCAGGACTTAATATAGCGTCCTACACTCATCCCCACACCACACACAATATTTAAAGGGTTACTCCAACCACCATGACCACTTAAGTGATTTAAAGTGGCCATGGTGATAGGAGTCTGTATGTGCATAGTTACTGCTTGAAACACTGTTCATGCAGAGAAATCTGCACTTTTGTGGTGGGGGGTAGTTGGATCCATCGCACAGATGAATTTCGCCAGGGCTTGACAGATTTGATTTGAATATAGGGGCCAGAAATGCAATTCCTTAAGGGGCACTATACTCACCAGAACCGCTTAATATTGTGGTTCTGGTGTCTATATCCTGTCCCTGCAGGCTTTTCAATGGAAATGCTGCCTTTTCAGAGAAAAGGCAGTGTTTACATTGCTGCCTAGTAACACCTCTAAGTACTCCCTAGTACAGTTCTGTACAGTATGCAGCACCAAAGTTAAAAGTTCTCCACGCTCTGCTTGGAGGCACTAAACATTTCCCATAGATATGCATTAATTCAATGCATCTCTATGAGGAGATGCTGATTGGCGCAGTGTTTTTTTTGCACATGCGCAATAGCCTCTCAAGGCTTTTCTATAGGAAAGCATTGAATTGACTGAGGTCATCAAGATTGATTGTGGGGCCAGCTGAGGAGAGACTGACTCAGGTGAGTAAAAACACCTTTCCCCCCTTGGGAGAGCTGTAGTGGATCCTTTTCCTGGGGTCCAGTGCAGCTGCTGTGATCCTGTAATCTTCATGCTCTTCATTCTGTGCTCCATTTTGTGATCCTGGACAGGAGTGATGTCATATCCTGGCATCATAGCAGGGCGCGTGAGGGAGAAGAGCAAGATAAACACAGAGATTACAGCTCCCTCGCAGTCCGCTTCAAGGTGTGGGGACCTAAGGCCCAGCACTGAGCGGGATGAGAAACACCCAGATACCAAGACAACATTCCTAGTCCCCATGGCGACCTGGTGCTTAGCATTTGTCGAGCCCTGACTAAGGTAGCTTGGAACTCTGTGACGGACTGCTTAATGTAAATTTTGTGCAAAAATGATGTCTATCGTCATAGGCTTGTGCAGCCTATTGCATTAGGGTGTGCACCCTAAAGCACAAGCACACGCCACGTGTGTGTGTGTGTGTGTGTGTGTGTGTGTGTGTATATATATATATTACACACACACACATACATATACTGCTGTTAGTGCACTGTGTGAGGGTGCTGAGTGTGTGTGCTGTTAGTGTGATGTGTTGGTAGTGTGCAATGTGGGTTAGGGTGCTGGTAGTGTGCTGTGTGTGAGGGTGCGGTTTGTGTGCTGTGTGAGTGTGTATGTGTGTTAGGGTCATGTTAGTGTGCTGTGTGTGTGTGGGTGCTGTTTGTGTCGTGTATTTGTGAGGGTGCTGTTAGTGTGCTGTGTGTGAGTGTGCTGTTAATGTGATGTGTGTGTGAGGGTGTTGGTAGTGTGCTATGTGGGTGAGCGGGCTGTTAGTGTGATGTGTGTGTGAGGGTGTTGGTAGTGTGCTATGTGGGTGAGCGGGCTGGTAGTGTGCTGTGTGTGAGGGTGCGGTTTGTGTGTGAGGGTGCTGTTTGTGTGCTGTGTGTGAGGGTGTTTGTGTATGTGTGTTAGTGTCCTGTTAGTGTGCTGTGTGTGTGTGTGAGGGTGCTGTTTGTGTCATGTATTTGTGAGGGTGCTGTTAATGTGCTGTGTGTGTGTGAGGGTGCTGTTTGTGTCATGTATTTGTGAGGGTGCTGTTAATGTGCTGTGTGTGAGTGTGCTGTTTGTGTGGTGTGAGGGTGCTGTGTGTGTTTGTGAGGGTGTTGTATGTTTGTAAGGGTGCTGTGTGTGTGTTTGTGAGGGTGCTGTTAGTGTGTGTGTGAGGATGCTCTGTGTGAGGGTGCTGTGTGTTTGTGTGTGTGGTGGTGCTGTTTGTGTGCTGTGTGTGTGAGGGTGCTGTGTGTGTGTGTGTAGGTGCTGTATGTTTGGAGGGATTGTGAAGGAGGGGGCAGATTAGTAAATAACCCCCCTCCCTTCTTACCTTATGTAGGGAGGGGGGATCATTGCCGTCCAAGGGAGAGTGAACTCTAGCCTGCGGGGCTAGAGTTCACTCTCGCGAGATCTGAGCATTGCCGCGGCAGCGCTCAGATCTCACGAGAGGAACCTGGCGGAGCTTCTGTCTAGAACTCCCCGGGTCCTCTCCTGCCTCCCTCCATACTGCTGTGGGCTGGTGAGGTAGATCTTTGATCTCCCCGCCGGCCCATGGAGGCTTAGAGCAGAGCCGGCACATTTAGATAGCGCCAGCTCTGCATGAGCCGACAGGGGAGATCCGGAGATCTCCCCTGCCGGCAGGGGTCAAGTCCTGGGGAATAAAGTGTGGAAACTCTCCCAAGATTCCCACCCCACAAAAAAAAAAAAAAATACACTCGTGTATGTGTGTGTGTGTGTGTGTATGTGTGTATATATGTATGTGTGTGTATATATATATATATATATATATATATATATATATATATATATATACATACATACATACATACATACATACAGGGAGTGCAGAATTATTAGGCAAATGAGTATTTTGACCACATCATCCTCTTTATGCATGTTGTCTTACTCCAAGCTGTATAGGCTCAAAAGCCTACTACCAATTAAGCATATTAGGTGATGTGCATCTCTGTAATGAGAAGGGGTGTGGTCTAATGACATCAACACCCTATATCAGGTGTGCATAATTATTAGACAACTTCCTTTCCTTTGGCAAAATGGGTCAAAAGAAGGACTTGACAGGCTCAGAAAAGTCAAAAATAGTGAGATATCTTGCAGAGGGATGCAGCACTCTTAAAATTGCAAAGCTTCTGAAGCGTGATCATCGAACAATCAAGCGTTTCATTCAAAATAGTCAACAGGGTCGCAAGAAGTGTGTGGAAAAACCAAGGCGCAAAATAACTGCCCATGAACTGAGAAAAGTCAAGCGTGCAGCTGCCACGATGCCACTTGCCACCAGTTTGGCCATATTTCAGAGCTGCAACATCACTGGAGTGCCCAAAAGCACAAGGTGTGCAATACTCAGAGACATGGCCAAGGTAAGAAAGGCTGAAAGACGACCACCACTGAACAAGACACACAAGCTGAAACGTCAAGACTGGGCCAAGAAATATTTCAAGACTGATTTTTCTAAGGTTTTATGGACTGATGAAATGAGAGTGAGTCTTGATGGGCCAGATGGATGGGCCCGTGGCTGGATTGGTAAAGGGCAGAGAGCTCCAGTCCGACTCAGACGCCAGCAAGGTGGAGGTGGAGTACTGGTTTGGGCTGGTATCATCAAAGATGAGCTTGTGGGGCCTTTTCGGGTTGAGGATGGAGTCAAGCTCAACTCCCAGTCCTACTGCCAGTTCCTGGAAGACACCTTCTTCAAGCAGTGGTACAGGAAGAAGTCTGCATCCTTCAAGAAAAACATGATTTTCATGCAGGACAATGCTCCATCACACGCGTCCAAGTACTCCACAGCGTGGCTGGCAAGAAAGGGTATAAAAGAAGAAAAATCTAATGACATGGCCTCCTTGTTCACCTGATCTGAACCCCATTGAGAACCTGTGGTCCATCATCAAATGTGAGATTTACAAGGAGGGAAAACAGTACACCTCTCTGAACAGTGTCTGGGAGGCTGTGGTTGCTGCTGCACGCAATGTTGATGGTGAACAGATCAAAACACTGACAGAATCCATGGATGGCAGGCTTTTGAGTGTCCTTGCAAAGAAAGGTGGCTATATTGGTCACTGATTTGTTTTTGTTTTGTTTTTGAATGTCAGAAATGTATATTTGTGAATGTTGAGATGTTATATTGGTTTCACTGGTAATAATAAATAATTGAAATGGGTATATATTTGTTTTTTGTTAAGTTGCCTAATAATTATGCACAGTAATAGTCACCTGCACACACAGATATCCCCCTAACATAGCTATAACTAAAAACAAACTAAAAACTACTTCCAAAAATATTCAGCTTTGATATTAATGAGTTTTTTGGGTTCATTGAGAACATGGTTGTTGTTCAATAATAAAATTAATCCTCAAAAATACAACTTGCCTAATAATTCTGCACTATATATATATATATATATATATATATATATATATATATATACGCGTACACACATACTCACACACACACATACACTCACACACATTCACAAATTATTATTATTTTTTTAATTAAAAATTGTCCACCCAGCCTCCCTACCTGGAGAGCTGGCGTGGACTTGTCCCTGGGGTCCAGTGGGTCAGACGCCTATCTCCATACAACAAGCGGCGAGGGAGCGGTGTGCTCTCTGCTTCCTCTCACCGCGCGGGCTGTCTGCTCTCCCGCCATCAGCAAACAGCGCGGCGAGAGAAAGCAGAGAGCACACAGCTCCCTCGTCGCTTGTTGTATGGAGATAGGCGCCCGACCGGGGGGAGGGGTGTCCATCACCTCTTCCTCCCCCCCCCATGACAGGGGGAACACAGGGGGAGGAGGAGGGCATTTGGGGGCGGCAGAGTGCCTGCAGGAACAGCAGGAACGGCACCCGGCGCACGCCTATGTCTATCGTTAGAGTGCTGACCACACATAATGATCTTTTCCCTTGCACGCAGCAGTGATGGAAATACCACTGGTGCAGCCGGTGTAACTACACTGGGGCCTGAACGCTGGAAGGAGCCCATCAGGTGGCCCATGCATTTAGGGCCACCGATGTGTATTATTGGTGAAGAAGGGTCCGGTCAGGTGCAGCGGGCCTTTAAGACAGCGACTGGGCCTCTTTCACATCGGCAGTGCTGGGAGGAAGTGAAAGATGGCCATTTCCTTGCAGCAGCAGGGCCCGTTGGCTATCTCTTACAGGGTTCCTGCCAGGTTTACTAATTTACCCTCTGTCCACACTCCTCTGCGGCAGCACTAGGAAGAAGTGATATCACATCCTGTCACTTCCTGCTAGAGCTCTATGAAAGCCGCGCAGGAGGGAGCACTGGCAAAATTCAGAACCTGGGACCTGTTTCTGCAGAGCGGCCAGCAAGATGAAGTAGTGAATGAAGAGAGAGAAGGGGCATGTGCATATTCCTACAATAAAGGTGAGAGTGTGTGGGCCTCTGTGTGTATGTGTGGACCAGTGTGTGTTGGTCACCGTGTGTGTTTGTGGTTCACTGTTTGTGAGTGTGGGCCACTGTGTGTTTGTGTGGGCCGCTGTGTGTTTGTATGTGTGGGTCGCTGTGTGTGTGTGGGCCACTGTGTGTATATGTATTTATAAACAAATATTTGTGTATCTGTGTGTGGCAGTGTGCATGTGTCTGGCAGTGTATGTTTATATGTCCATACATCCCAGCATTCAAACACAACACAATAAACAAATACACCCCTGCATTCAGATGCCAACAGTGCACACAAATGCACAACTGCATGCAAACACTACTTGCAAAACGCACCACTACATTCAAATGGCAACAATAATTACAAATACTCTCTCTGCATTAGTTCAGCCACTGACAGGCAGCATTTCCTCTGTGAGCTCCTTCCAGCCTCCCTTTTTTTACTAAAATCGATTTTTAAAAATCCCCTTTTATCTCTGGTTCCCCCCTCTGGCTCTTTGAGAAGCATTTGGTTGGACCTTACAATGGCTCCGTTGGCGTCAGACGGGAAGTGCCGAGCAGCGCTGTGAGCTTTGTTTGGTACTGGATTACAGGAAGGTTTAAAGTCTTTTGAAATTTTTTTAAATGTGGGGGGGGGGAAAGATGTTTTAAAAAGTGTTGGAGGAACCCGTTAAGTGGCAATATACAGAACCAACAATATCAGCTCTATTTAATAGCAGTTTCAGTTACATGTCAGTCGTTCTTGTTGCTTTAAATCTTCATCATTATTGTTTGAGAGTGACAAGACTTGTTCAGCCTAGGGTGGCACTAGACTTTAACCTTGTTGCAACGGTCACTGTAACCTGTATTTCTCCAACACTTGTACATTTGGTGATAGCTGATTTTAAAGGTATGTCAGCCGTATAAATTTAGCCAATATTTTGGGCTTGTATGACTACTTCTAGAATCCTCACTATTGGTGATGTGGAGGAACCAGACCCATCAACATATACATATTGCTGGCTCTGAAGATTGTGAGTTAAATTCTGTGGGTCACTTTTACTGTACATATTACGCAATTACATGTGTGTCCATTTGTTTCCATTGTAGAGTCCCAAAGAGGCTATCAAGACTATTAAGTGAATCAGTTTATTTTTCTTTAGTTTCACTGGTCGTGTAGAAATTATTATAAGCAAAACTGTGCAAAAATATTTTTTCTATTTTTCCCTCTTTCAGAAAATTTGAAATAACCCTAAATCTTGTGTTTGTGTATATATAGGTGTCAGAAGAAACTAATATCTGTCCTTTAAATCACAATGGAATGAACATATGACAAAAGTGCCAAAAAGGCCCCAAAAACATAGGATCTCAGACGACCTTTGTCCACGCACTGGTCAGTATAGCACCATTTAATTTCATTTAATTTTACTGATGGTCTTCCTGTTCTCTAAAACACATCCTCTTATGGACACCAGAATGCATTTTGATTTCATAACAACGGTATTACTATCTTATTTATGGGGAGAAGGCCAAGCAATTGTACTATTATTTGTTTGATTATACTTTTTCCCCACAGAATCCATATGACGTTGCAGACTCCACATAATTAGAAAATGCCTAGCACCCCAAATTACCTGTGGGAGTTGGATGATATTTTAGGACAAGGTGCCACAGCATGTGTATACAAAGCACGAAATAAGGTAAATGATCTGTTGTCAAACCCCAGAACGACTTTGGAGAAAAGTGCTGTCCTTGCATCAAATTTCCCTTCTCCTATTTCCTACCCTTGCTTTTCGAGTGTCTAAAATGCATTGTATATAGGATTGCATCTCAGAACTCTCCCATAAGCATAACTCTGAGTTATGGGTGTTTAAAATGTCTAATTGCACATATAATTAATTAGTTTCTCAAATAAAATACTTGACCTTGATCCACATTACCTACCCAGTTACTTCATAAATAACAAATAGAAACCCACAGAAATGACTGTATTAAGTACAAAGTAAAAAGCGGTATTTTGTTATTTGGAATATTGGGCGGTGAGGGCAAGTTAACAGAGCTTTAAAACAGCACTGTCAACTCTGCATTCAAAATGAGTATATTATAAAAATAAAATCTTTATGAAATACTCACATTCACTGGTTTGGCATTTAAGACAAAGTAGGGACTATTCTGCCTTAGTATTTTTTTATGTGCTTGATAAAGTTTGACAAAAGGCGGAGCTACCTTTTGTCAAGCTGTCCGTAATGGTGCCTAAGGAGAAAAATGCTTGCCGCATCCTCTATAGACATTAGTGTTGTATACGCTCATGAGAGTATAACACTGACATCGGCTCATGACAGATGAAGCACCTGAAGCTGAAAAGGGACTGGCCGGTTCAGGTAAATCTAACTCACCTTCCCCTGCACCCCTTGGTCACCACACTGCCAGTTGATTGGTCGCCGTCTGTGGTCTGTTCAAATTATGCCAAGAGCTGCTTTAACACACTATTCTCCGATTAAATTCTCATTCTCCAAACAACTATTTATGCTACGTTAATTTGTAGGGTTATTCCCTAAACCATAAATTGTCCGGAATCCACCAGGAAATGTAATAGTTGAGGCCAAAATAGCATGTGTTGAAAACTTCTCCAAAATACCTATGTTTCTAGTTCGTCTATTCTGATTGTTTGTGATTTTGTGACAAGAGTAACCCTGCATTAAAAAAAAAAAAAAAGACGAAAAAACTTTAGCAAGGCAAAAAGTATTATCAATATAATATTTGAGCTCAATTAATGTTTCTTTAGAATACATCACCTATTATAAATACATAGTCATTAAATGGAAAAAAAAATTAAGATTGCATGTTTCTATAAATGATAGCAGTGATGACATCACTTGTGAAATTATTCCCCCTAATGGATGGTAAATAATGCACCATTTGGCCATGTTTAGTTCTAGGGTCCTAACATACATGTACTGAAACATACATAAACAGGACTATACATAGGACACATATTTGACTCATTCCCAAGTCTAATTAAAGGTACACTACACTGTCCAAATAAAGAACAGGGAAAGAAAAAAACACTGTTTAGTACATATACCCCCAATGAAACCTTGCAAGCATTTAATTTTGCCTTTCTTTATTGGGAAAAGTTGCTGATCTCTCTGTGAGAAGTCTCGAGCTTAGATCCATGAGGTAAACAACAAAGGAGTGACAGGACTGGCTGTCTGGCAGCCAGGGGGTGTAACAAATGTAATTTAATAAAAGTGCCAATCTCTGCACTTTTGTTAAAAAAAAAAAAAAAAAAAAAAAGGAACACCGTTAAAGGACCACTATAGTGCCAGGAAAACATACTCGTTTTCTTGGCACTTTAGTGCCCTGAGAGTCCCCCTCCCGCCCGACTCTGGAAGGGGGAAAGGGGTTTAAACTTACCTTTTTCCAGCGCTGGGCGGGGAGCTCTCCTCCTCCGATCCTCCTCCGTTCCGCCCCTTTCCTATGGACGCTTGCATGCTCTCACTGTGAAAATCATAGTGAGAAGCACGCAAGCGCCTCTAGTGGCTGTCAATGAGACAGCCACTAGAGGAAATAGGGGAAGGCTTAACCCATTCATAAACATAGAAGTTTCTCTGAAACGGCTATGTTTATGAAAAAATGGGTTAACCCTAGCTGGACCAGGCACCCAGACCACTTCATTAAGCTGAAGTGGTCTGGGTGCCTAGAGTGGTCCTTTAACACATAAATAAATTCAGCAAGCAGACATCACCTTCCTTTAACCTTTACACTACTATAATACTTACAAGACCCTTAAACCCTACAGTATCCATGCCCACTTTCCTAGCTTGGAAAAATTATGTAATATAAAAGATACAATGAACCTGGTACTGAGGGAAAATAATGCCGTATTGGCGGACATAAAAGGGACACTATAGTCACCTGAACAACTTTAGCTTAATGAAGCAGTTTTGGTGTATAGAACATGCCCCTGCAGCCTCACTGCTCAATCCTCTGCCATTTAGGAGTTAAATCCTTTTGTTTATGAACCCTAGTCACACATCCCTGCATGTGACTTGCACAGCCTTCCATAAACACTTCCTGTAAAGAGAGCCCTATTTAGGCTTTCTTTATTGCAAGTTCTGTTTAATTAAGATTTTCTTATCCCCTGCTATGTTAATAGCTTGCTAGACCCTGCAAGAGCCTCCTGTATGTGATTAAAGTTCAATTTAGAGATTGAGATACAATTATTTAAGGTAAATTACATCTGTTTGAAAGTGAAACCAGTTTTTTTTTTTTTCATACAGGCTCTGGGAAGCCTTCAAATATAAAATGGAGAAGGATAGGTAGACTAAAATATTCATTGTCTAACAGGATTCACCCCCTGTGCCTACAAGAGCACCTATAGCTGTAATAGAGCCCAGTACAGAGGGAGGGTAATGGAGATAATTATAAATTATACCTTTTAAACAATTATACCTTCTCAATCATAGCCATGGGAGGTGTGGCTAGGGCTGCGTAAACAGAAACAAAGTGATTTAACTCCGAAATGACAGTGAATTGAGCAGTGAAATTGCAGGGGAATTATCTATACACTAAAACTGCTTTATTTAGCTAAAGTTATTTAGGTGACTATATAGTGTTCCTTTAATAATTGTGTATTTGGATGTATCAAAATCCCTCAGTGGCATTATTTTCCCACCATACATGCCTCACCTATGTTTCAAATGTACATATACTTGCATGCATGCATGCACACATTTACATATCTGCAATTAAGAGAACATTTACAAACTTGTTTAAAAGGTATAATTTATAATTATCTCCATTACCCTCCCTCTGTACTGGGCTCTATTACAGCTATAGGTGCTCTTGTAGGCACAGGGGGTGAAGCCTGTTAGACAATGAATATTTTAGTCTACCTATCCTTCATATCCATTTTATATTTGAAGGCTTCCCACATTATTTACTATCAGGAATTAGACATGACTATGTTCCAATGTCCTTTTAGAAATAGGCAGCGAGTTTCATCTTTATACTTATGCCTGCTATTTATGGGAGTTGGATTCCAGGTCACTACCTTATTTACCCCACACTCCTGTGATCATCAAACCTCTATTCCATTGCCTATATGTGTGTAACAGTTGTAGGCAGGGAGCTTTCATTTATGTGTCTGAATCCTGTTATACGCTACAATATCCATTTGGTGCTGATACTACCAGTTATTCCCTAGTATAACACCCCACTGAGACAAAATCTTGACACAGACATGTGCATCGATTTCTACCCGCTAGGTTGGTGATACGCTTTACCTTGATCCTGGAATAGGTAGTACGATAGGATTTACGAATACTACATTTTAGTTCTTACTAGGTGGTGATTATTCATTTAGACCTTTCATAGTCCTATTTTTTTATCTATTTATTTGGGATTTTTTTATTTTATTTTTCTATTTTTATTTCCTTACATTTGGTTTGTTCACAGCACACGAACACCATGGTATTTAATGTTGGGCAATTTTATTAGTTTTTTTTCATCAATAAAGTTTTTTTCATTTTTCAAATATGAGATTTTCCATTGTCTGGATTTAAAATTTTTCCTTTATTTGTTACCCATCCCAGCTCTCTCCTGGGTACACTACCTTTTCTCAATATACATAGTTTAAATTTTTTGTTACCAATTGTATACCAATCCTATATTTGGCTTACCTTATACCCTATGTTTTTTGTTTTTTTTGAATATCAAATTAGTTTCAGGTGGAATGGGTTTTCAATCACAATTTTTTTTTTTTCTCCATCATAACCTTTTTGGCTTTTACTATGTATGTATGTGTATAGATCTTTTATAAAGAGAGAGAACACTTTTTTTTTCCTATGATCTGGGGGGGTGGCCAAGAACATAATTGTGCTTAATTGTGTCTTGTCTCTTATTTCTGCAGAAATCGGGGGAAGTGGTGGCAGTAAAGGTGTTTAATAACCTGAGTTATCACAGGCCGCCAGAGGTCCAGATGAGAGAGTTTGAGATGCTGAGAAAGCTCAACCACATAAACATCGTCAAGCTTTTTGCTGTAGAGCAAACTGTAAGCCCTGCTCATTTCACATCTTTCACAATGAGATAAATGTGGTGGTAGTTCTCAAAAGCCATCTCAAAATCCTAAGCACAGGAGACCAGCAACCTCAATATATTGACAGTTTGTCGTGCTCTTTTGATAATTTCTTTTAATCAATGTACCCGTTTTAATGTTTCTTGTCTCTGCTTTGCATAAGTGTTTACTATTTTTCAGATACATGTCTCTGTTATATAGAAACTGAATCATATAGCTCTATATTGAAGCCCAAAGATAACACATATAACCGTAATGATTCATTGTTACAAACAATCCATTTCTGCTAATCCTCTCTTAGAACCACAAATATGCATTATAATATAGTTCTCCTTAGTGACCTAAACCAATATACCACTTACATCATAGTATATAATCCTTTATTATGTGCTGTGGTTTTTGATACTTGAAATAGCTCCAGGAATTACCAATTGATTTTTCCAGTCTAACATCCTTCTCTTCTGTGTTCATCAATCTCCTTATGACTATGACCACCACACATCTCCGGTGGTTGTTCATTCAATCGTTGTTCCTCCTCTTGCCCATGTGATTTCTTTCCAATGATTCCTCTGATTCGCCATTTTCATCCCCAGGGCACTTCCCGGCAGAAGGTCCTAGTTATGGAGTACTGCGCTAGTGGGAGTCTGCTGTCTGTCTTGGAGGAGCCAGAGAACGCTTTTGGACTGTCGGAGTCAGAGTTTCACATTGTGGTGGATTGTGTCGGTGAGATGCCATACATTGAGAAGTTCAGGTGTCTGCCTCCCTGATATTCATTACTGCCCATGTGTCAGTCTACAAAGAAATCTCCTGACTCATAATAGGGATTTATGTTTCATAACCTGTCCAGAGTACTTTGTCATGAAAATATATGTAATACCGTTTAGACAAACCCTTCAGGACAAGATGATGAAGGAAAATAATAGGGTAAAAACAACCCACTATTTTAATGCATTATATACAAACAATGAAAAAATATATATTTTTGCAAAGTTTCCCTCAATGCACTTATCATGGTTGCTACCACTTTACACACTACCTGGTTCCCTGTTTACTGAACCAGGCTATGTGATGGTCCAGAGAGAAGAGCGCGAACTCATGTTCAGATTAATTTTGTAAAAATGTTTTTAGTTCAATACAATATATTTATTAACTGTTGTTTTGGGGTTTTTTAAATGCTTGTATTTAGATTTTTTTTGTCTCATGCTAAAAAAAAGATTTAACCAAAGATGGCGCGATTTTTGTGATGTGCAAGAATTGTGTGAGATCTTGCTCTGTTCCTTCTATAATAATTTGTTCTGTTGAATTCTCAGTTGCAGGAATGAACCACCTTCGTCAAAATGGGGTAGTACACAGGGACATCAAACCCGGGAACATCATGCGTGTGATTGGGGAAGATGGACGAAGCATTTACAAACTGTCAGATTTTGGTGCGGCCCGCGAGCTGGATGATGATGAGAAGTTCGTATCCATTTATGGGACTGAGGAGTATTTGGTGTGTAGTTGCTATATATTCCACTTTTCTCCCAAACACACATTATAAAAAAACACACATTAAAAAAACCTGATTACATGGCCTACAAATTCTACATTTCCTGGCAACTCTACAAATTCGTTTCATGTGTCGAGGGAGTAGTTTGCATTGTATTGTGTGTATTGGGGTCTGCTTGTGGTCTTGATGAATGAGACTGAGTTGTGTGTGAGAGAAAGAGGAGTGACTGTGTATGAGGATTACTGTGTGGGTGTGACAGTGACTGTGTGGGGGTGACAGAGTGACTGTGTGTGGACATGAGTCTGGGAGATAGGCCGTTTTTCTGTACAACCTCCCCACACTGTGCGGTTCATTTTTTTCAAAATTTATTTTGCTTTTGCCTCCCTCCTGCTTACCTTTTGGACATGGAGGGAGCTACTCTTCATTTCTCTGAGGGTTCATTCTCTGAGGGTTCGTTCTTTTTTGAGCTACTAAGAGCTCTGCTGTATTCAGCGTGGACAGTACAATCCCTATCTCAGGATATAAATTTCACAGTGATTATGTTTTCTCCATACAATAAAATATGTGGAAACAAATAGCTGAAATGTCCAATGGCGCTGTATAAAGACCAATAATTATGTAGAGTAAAAAGTAGTTATCCTACTTACATGGTCTTGGGGTATAGAGCGTTGGTGGTGCAACCCCCACCTGGGATGTATGGAACCAGAAAGCAAAATGAGTAGCAGAGTAAAATCCAAAATAAATTAAATTTAAAAAGGATCAACTTTATTACACTATAAAAAGCAACGGTTAAAAAAATAGTAAGAATAGATAATCAAATCCACACTTAACACGTTTTACTTTCAGGTTTCATCAGAAGTGTGGAGCTCTTGTCACTTTAAGGTCTAATTTGGAACCTTGATAATTTGATCGTCTCTCAGTGGGAAAACAAAAATTAATGTGTACCTTTCTGACTTTGTTATTCCTCTGTATACTTTCATTAATTAAATTTTACTCTGTATTACTGTCCTTTCAATGTTACATTTTAATATTACATCATAAAACATTTCAGTATATTTCAATATCACATTCTGTATTATTCCTAAAATGCCTTTGTGCCTTTGTAGTGTCTGAAATTACTTAAATTGTTTTATTAGCCATTCTTTACATGATATGCTATCCTTAAATATAATGGATATTATGTCATTACTCTGAAGGGTAAATTTATTAATCTGCGATCTTGTCCATATAATTACTTTAATACCTTATCTTTGGGATGTAGCAGAAATCAATCTGTCTCCAATGTCATGCTCTGATGCTTTGCACCCACACTTTGGTGACATCATTACTCTCATTTTGTTTCTTCTCAGCATCCTGATATGTATGAGAGAGCAGTGTTAAGGAAACCACAGCAGAAGGTGTATGGGGTTACAGTTGACCTGTGGAGCATTGGAGTAACCTTTTACCATGCAGCATGTGGTAGGCTTCCATTCATCCCATATGGAGGAACGCGGCGGAATAAGGAGACCATGTGAGCATACATTTTACAAAATGGGAACTGGATATGTCAGAGTAAATAAGAAAAGATTACTTGATGAAGAGAAGGTATAGAGTTCTTTGAAACAACCCTGACTCTTTACTTCCTTAGATGTGCACAAACGTTCAATTTAAAGGACTTTTCCCCAAAATGCCTTTTAATGCAATATCCACTTAACTCCCCATGATCCTTTGTAATCTTTGTTCCACCAAAACAAAGCCTCAAGACGCTTTCCAATTTTTTTTCTCAATTTATTGATTTGAATATTGACCAAGCCTTTCCCACTAATATACCCCATATATCTTATATGTATATATCACTTCCAGGAGGAACAACATTGATGATCTTTAAAAAAAAAAAAAAAAAAAAAAAGGCGGGAAACTCCTTTTTAAATCCCATGTAAAACCATTAAATTAGAGACTTGGTCCAGAGTTCAAGGATTACATGAGAAGCATCTGATGCCCATGCATACGCTAGTCAAAAAGTTTAATGGATAAGAGACTGTTCTTTGTAAAATATGTATATTCCATATATGAAAAAAATATGAAAAATACAGCATGGAATAATTACAGTTTATATGCAGAGATACTCCTTGATAAGTGTCATGACAAGGCTTGATTGGCAAGTTGTAATTGAACCTTGTTGAGGTGTACCAAGATGGAGGTGAGGGGGTGGAGATCATTTTAACTATGGCTCCATGTGTGAGAGAGAATCCTATTCAGACCTGGCACAGCGAGGGCATACACAACAAACGCGGATTTGAAACAGAAACATTAGTTTATTTCTCCCATTCTCTGTATGCTTTCTCTATGCTTACTGCCATAGTCAAAGTACAGAGCTTGTTACAATGATTGAAAGGGAGCTAAGAGCAAGGCACTTCAGAATGACTCCCTCCAGTTTCCTTCCACCTATTATTATTGATTATAGCCGTCATTTCATTTTACTAGTTGTAAAAGCCACTTACGACATACAATTGTCCAAAACAGACATACTCAGACAGGAGTTACTGGATATGACTACTAATGAAGTGGCTTTTTAAATAAATAAATATAGTTTGTTTTGAGATTTTGAGTATTGCGACTGCTTCACAGTGTGGAATGTCATGGAGTTTGTGTTGCTAGAGTTTGTGTGCATATTGTCTGTAAATGTTACTGTCAGCATGTCAAACACACATGTTGACATTGTACACACGCAGACACACTGACAGGGGTTTTTTATGTCAGTATGTGTGTTTGTCAGTTTTTCTTTGTGTGTATTCTCAGTATTTGTCTTTTTGATGGTTAATGTTTGTTAGAGTTTGCAGAGTATATGCTTGTAATGTCAGCATGTGTGTTTTTAGTGTTTCTGAGTATCCAATGTCAGTATGTGTGTGTGATTTTTATTTCTGTGTGTAATATCAGCATATGTGTTTGTTAGTGTTTCTGTGTGTGTGCCATTTCGGCAGTGTATTTATGACTTAGAATTAATGGATAACAGCAACCAAATTTTAAAGTAAAAAAAAATAATCTTGTTTACTCTCCCAAGTATGGGTATGAAAAAATTAATTCAGCAACAGGCAGCATACAAAGTGACAGATTACATTAGTTTACACGTTTCCTACCCTTGTACTATAACCAAACTCCACTTTTAGTGAAAAACCATAATATGGAGTACCCGGAGTTATCAAATATCAGTTATAACAATACATTCATTTTGCACTAAAAGTGGAGTTTGGTTAAAGTACAAGGGTACAAACTCGTAAACTGCTGTTATCTGTCATTTTGCATGCCGCATGAATTTTCATACCCATACGTGGGAGAATAAAGAAGATAAATTTTTTAACTTTTGAAATCCAGTTTCTGTTATCCATTCATTTTGTGCATTCATTTGTGTGGTTAGACCACCATATTCCATCAGCAAAGGATTGGGGTAGAAAGCCAGGTATCCACTGCCTGTGGAATTAAGTCCGGTGTGCATATATTACTCCAGCGTTGGTGGATAATTGATTACATTTGGAGATTGTGATTTATAGCCCATTCTATAGCCCTCTCCATCTATAGCTCCCTCGTCTACAGCCCCCACCATTTGTAACCTCCTAAATGTATAGCCTCCAACATTTACAGGCACCCCTTAATACATTTTAAAGTGGGTGTGGAGCATGTATCTGCCACACTATCTGTTCCCTCCCCTTGGTTCAGTACCTGAATATTATTGTACACTGTAATATTAAGGCGAGCACTAGACGGGTGTGTGTACCAGCTCCGTACATTCACAGAAATACTATTGCAACTGTGCAGTGTTAGGCTGTGCTTGTCAGCTACAAAGGGAAAACTTTTATACCTCCTGCCACTCACCAACATCCTTATCCTATTGCTCTGCGTCAGTACGCTGTCGCAGTGTGTGCAGTAGTTTGACATCACTGCGTCCAGTATCTAGGGAGCTGTGCTGATCAGTAGTAATTGAGGCACAGCTCCATGCACTGTCTCTACTCGCCAGAGATGAGTTCTTCTTCATGATCAAAGATAGGCATACCAAAAAAGAGGATAGGGACATTGCAGCGGGAGTGGGAGGAAGTAGCGTGCAAGGAAGTTGATGTATGTGCTTTTATCCCTCTCCTCTGACAAGACATACTATAGACAAAGCCAGTGACAAAAGATCAAATAACACAATGAGGCAATGGGCTAGGGATATAGAATTAGTGATTGGTGGACCAAGTAGTCTAGTGGCACGGTTTGGAAATAAGAATGTGGCATGAGGAGGAAGGTGCCAGCTTAGAGATGAGACAGAGGTGCAAATATATCTACATTTAGACACACTGACATTCCACCAAAATCCACGCCTGTATTCACACACATTATGACTCTCCAGTCAAACACACTCCTCCGTTCACATTCAAAGATGTTATGTTGTGGATCGCTGTCTATGGACCATTAAAATGCCATGCATTTTGTGGTAGTGAGTAACTTTAACCCCTTAAGGACACATGACATGTGTGACATGTCATGATTCCCTTTTATTCCAGAAGTTTGGTCCTCAAGAGGTTAAGGCCTAGTTAGTAACATAGGCCTTGAAATGCCAAGCCTGAGCATGATATGAGGCATACCTTATCTTCTGAGTTTTGTCTCTCCAGCTCTGTCAGAGGAAAATTACAAGTTGTGGGGGTGATGAGTTAACATCTGTGAGCGGAGGGAGATGTGAATGTCTATTAATTGTATCTTGTTGGCACACTGTATAGGTGATCTCTTTATAAATCTAACCACTTCCCAGATAGTTTAAAGAAACACTATAGGGTCACGAACACAAACTTGTATTCCTGACCCTGTAGTGTTACAAACACAATCTTTCTCCCCTAAATATAGTAAAATCCTACCTTTATTCCAGTCTGCTTCTGGCTTTGCCCATGATCTGCCTGCATGGGTGACATTATCAGAAGTGATTCTCTGAGCCAGTCACAATTCTTTCCCATTGGATTGGCTGAGACTATCAAGAAAGCAGGTCAGTGGCAGAGCCAGCACAAGCCGAACACAGCCCTGGCCAATCAGCATCTCCTCAAAGAGATGCATTGGATCAGTGCATCTCTACGAGGAAATTTCAGGGTCTCCATGCATATGGTGGAGACACTGAATGTCACTGTGCAGCACTGCCCCTGGACACACATCTAGTAGCCCTAGGCTGTAATGTAAACACTACATTTTCTCTGGGGAAAAAAATACCTTGTTTACTGCAAAAAGTCTGAAGTTAATGATTATACTCACCAGAAGAAATACAATAAGCTGTAGTTGTCCTGGTGACTATAGTGTACCTTTAAGAGAAGTGTAGTTGTATAATACTGCTAGGGGCCGTTTAGGATTCTTGTAATGATGTATTATAGCAGGAACTGTCACAAAAGGGTGATATATTATTACAAGTAAGTGTATAATTTTGATTTTATTAGGTACAAAATAACTACCGAGAAGCCAACAGGTGCAATTGCAGGAGTGCAGAAGAAAGAAAATGGCCCTATCGAGTGGACTTATGACCTGCCTATTAATTGTCAGCTGTCTGTGTAAGTAAATGTCATGCATGTTTGTTAATGTGTTTAGTTGCCACTTTTTTGTGACATTGCAATTTAAAGGAACGCTCTAAGCACCATAACCACTACAGCTCACTGTACTGATCTTGTTGCTCTATCAAACAGTTTGCTAATGAGTTGAAAACTCACCTGGGAATGCTAGGCGCCCGTCCTCTAAGAGAGCCAGAAGCGATCAGGGAACAAGTGAACTTATCATGAAAATGTCATCATCAAGGTTATTCACGAGAGAGAGAGTTATGTAGAAATAAAAATGAACTTTGAAAAGAAAGCAAAATTTGCCCAACTGGAAGTATAGCTGACTTTAAGAATTTTTCCATTCTTGCTATTTTGGCCTTAAATTTTAAACTCTGTTTGAATTCTCGACAACTCACTCACTAGTGAATAATCTTGCTAATATCTCATATCAAGTAACAAATGTATCATTGATCACAATGATCAATTATAGAACTAACTGCTTAATTAGATATAAAGTTTGTACTCCTCTACTTGCGAGTGTGCTAATGCCACCATCAAGCCATCTTCGTGGGTGTTACATTAAGGTAACTCTTACCCCCCAGCAAAGCGTTCTTTGCACCCTCCACTAATGGGACTGCTTGTTCTTTTGAACACTTCCACAGGTTGGACTCAGCTCTCCTAATAAGTCTTTATGCTGGCTTCATTGCCAGCATTTCAATGTCAGAATAGAGCAGGACAAACCTGTTCACTGGGAAAAAAATTATAGTGGGTGCAGTGTCTGTTTTGTAGCTGTTGTGAGAGAGCAGGAGCACGCTGTTTAGGAAGGCATGCTCATGCTTCTCTTCTGTCACTTAACCCTTGATGTTTAAGCAGTGCTGTTGGTATAATCCTCTGTGTCAGGAAGTGATTGTCAAGAAGGTAGGGAACTTCAATTTAAAGGGACACTATAGGCACCCAGACAACTTCTGCAAATTGAAGTGGTCTGGGTGCAGTGTCCCCCTTAGTCCTGCAATCTAAATTATTTAAGTTTTAGAGAAACTGCATGTTCTGCAATGTAAATCATTGCAGTTTTAGAGAAACTGCAATTTTGCAGGACTAAGACTGTCTCTAGTGGCTGCCAATCATCCACTAGAGGCACTTATGGGTTTTACCAGACTTTTGGTTGTCTAACTAATGCTGGACGTCCTGATACTCTGCCTGAGGACGTCCAGTGTCAGTAAAATCCCCATAGGAAAGCATTGTGTATACCCCAGTGTATACACTTTAACATTTAACATTTCACTCTCTTTAAAAAAATAAATAAATTATAGAGATTATTTCATGGAATATTGCACGTATTTTCTTATCCTAATGCTTCTAGCAGCATTGATAAAGACTCTCAGTAGACGTCTGGCAGAGCTAAAATACCTGTGAAGCCTATTTGCAATTTTTATGCGATAATTATCTATAAATCATTGCAGTGTGGAGTGCTAGCTTCCTCTTGTTGTTTTTTGTTTTTGTTTGTTTTCTTCTTTCTTTCAACTGTACTTTCTTTTCAACACAAATGTCTGCCCATGTGTGCCATTTATAAGTGTCAGAAATTTCCTCTGTCTGCTTTTCAGGGGGATGAAGACCCAATTAGAAGCCATCCTTCCCAATATCCTTGAAGCTGACCAAGAGAAGTGCTGGGGCTTTGATAATTTTTTTGCAGAGACAAATAAAATGCTTGAGCGCATAAACTTCCATGTCTTCTCCCTGCCACAAGCCACCATGCATAGAATCTATTTGCACCCTTACAGCACGTGAGTGTTCGCAAGAGGTGATAGAACTTGAAAATGAATCACAATGCAAATCTTGCTGGCTTTAACGGATTGGGTATGCAATGCGGACACAAGGGGGAAGTCTAACCATGGGGAAATTATATCTTTCTGTTAATTTAAAAAAAAAAAAGTATTCAGCATTTAGATTGATTTAAAAAAAAAACAAAAAAACATAACAATTTAACACATCCACCTACAATATTTACATTCTTAAAAGATTTGTTCACACCACAGACTTGAAAATATGTAAGTAAAAAAAAAAAAAATTTAATCAGCAAACTGATGTTTTCTTAACGACATGACAAAACAAGACTTGGAATACATTTCCTGATATTCGTGTACGTCAAAAATAGCACTTTCCAAATAAATCATCTAATATTAGAAATGTCCAGTTTGAGCCATTTTGTTTCTTTTAGACTATTTTCAAATGTATCATTGATATGGTAATTTACAATGGCTACTATAAAAAAGATATTAAATAAGAAAATGTGTGGTTTCTCAAGCAAGTTGTAGTCGAGATCTTTTGGCCATGTGAAGGTCGTGGAGAAACAGTTGCAAATACAACTCTAGTGTTTTGGTAACATATGTTTGTGAAATTTTCTCCATGAAAACTTTTTATGTTTTAAAATTATTAGAAGGAACACTTCAGCTACCATAAGCACTGTATTGTTATGTAGTGGTTATGGTGTTATAAGTTCTTAACTATTTAAAAATGATTTGACAACTTACCTAGGGGTCCTGTATGGAGCATACAGGGCCAGCTTCAGAAGAGGAGGTGACCCAAGGTAAATTGTCAAACCATTCTTAAAAAGTTTGACTCGTGGTCCCATAACCACTACATTGGGTTTTAGTGTCTGTGGTGCTCAGAGTGTTCCTAAGATTTCTGTGTCTATTTCTACAGATAGACGGCTACGTATCTACGGTAGTTAAAGGGTCACTCTAAGCACCATCACACATGTTGTATGATTGTACAGTTAGTGGTTTGCAGAACACCCTAAGCCTACTCTTGGCTGTGAGAATGGCTGTTCAGTATTAATATTATCATTTTTGCTACAGGCACAACTTGGTTGAGAACTCTCCCCTCTTCAGAAAGAGAACTGTGCCGCATATCGCACATGTTTAGAGCTGCATATGTGCTTCACTTACAAGGACACTATTGTTACCAAAACAACTTATGTGCATCTGTTACATTTATGGTTTGTTATGATTGAAACTGATCTTTTGGGATTCATTTAGAATCCCTTAAACTCCTGGTAGTCTAGAAAAAGATTTCCCTGACTGGAAGTCTCCTCCTGGTTTAGATTGATTCTGCCTCCATCTGAAGGTAATCACACTAACCAAAGATTTTTTTTAAATTTTTTTGGAATATCTATGTAATGCATTAAAAATTAGTATTTTTCACCCCACAGTTTTCCTGTTCATGTTTACAGATTTTTGTGAAAAGTTCACTGTTTTTTGAATGTGGTTGTTCTTATGCAGAGAAGTTTATTGGTGAAATGCACATCTATGAATAAATAGCACATGCTTGAATTAAAACCAATCAATTTTACAAGATACTGATTAAAGGGACAGCCCAAGTAACACCATCACTTGATATTGAAAATTGCATTGTGTGTCTGAAATTTATGTGTTTTGTTTGGTATTCTCTCTCATTATATCTCCTATTGCTGTTTTAGAATGGCTAATTTCATGGAAGTGGTAGCCACGTACACATTCATGGCTCCAGAAAGACAGACTTATTTTTATGAAGGCCACCATTACTTGATTAATCCAGCCTTGGAGGTCCGGGCCTTGCCCAAGACTACAGAGCAGTATCCTCTTATACTCATTGGCAATGAGTTCCAAACTCTCAATGGAGTCTCCTTCAAAGACCGTGAGTTTTATCAGATTTGTAGCTTTAATTGTGCTGCTTTAACATCTAATCTATTACCTGCTACTGTCCCATAAGCTGACTGAAGGCATTCCCTCTGATATACCATAATTAAACAGTGAACATTCTATTCTATTATTTGTGAATGCAGCTGTCTCCTGTTTGGACCTGTAATTATACATTTCTCTTCTGACATTTTAGTTCTTTTGAAATGACCATTAGTGAAAAAAAATAAAAATTATTTTCTACTAATAAGGAAGTGCAATTCTGTAATGACAGAATGAAAATGTGGCATTTGGCCTCTTTCTAAGCCATCACAATGGAGGAATGGGCGACTAAACCTCAAACATTCCTCCCTTGATGCTGAATAAAAATTATTTAATGGTTTAGGGGGAGACATTGATGGGGACGAGTGGCAGGATATGTGGGAAGCAGCAGCAAAGGTTTCAGTATATGTAACCTCTCAGGAACAAATATACAAGTTATTCTTTAGGAGGCACACCACCCCCGTACAGCTCTTAAAAATGGGAGATCACCCCTCAGATGATTGCTGGAGGTTGTGTGGGATGAAATGTATATATACGATCTCTCCCTTGGGAGGTGTTCGGTAGGCCGTTCGAGTTTTTTTTGCTCTCTAAGCTGTGGAGGGTCTGACCTACCGTGAACAGAAACTGTTCAATAAAATTACACTGGCAGCGAGACTGGTTCTAGCAACTCACTGGCTACTACCCACTCGCCCATCATTAGGCGAGGTAAGTGCTAAAATAGATGACAACCATCTAATGCAGGGGTCATCAACCTGGTCCCTACCGCCCACCAGTGGGCGTTTTAGGATTCCAGATGGGCGGTAGCAGAATCCCCCCTCCATCCAGAGAGATGAACGCTCTATTAATCTCTCTCACACTCAGTAGTAAGCAGGAAGTGCGGGCGTGCAGATAAGAGTGCACAAAAGCACGAATGTGTGTGACTGAACGCGCATGTGCGCCCGTATCGCATGTACGAATGCGTGTGCTCGTGGGTAGAGGAAGGGGAGGAGTTGAAGTAGGTAGAGAGATACACGATAGCAGGGAATGGAGTACTTGTTAAATAGGAGAAAGAAGGAGCAGAGTACTTGTAAAATAGGAGAAAGAAGGAGCAGAGTACTTCTAGAATAGGAGAAAGAAGGAGCAGAGTACTTGTAAAATAGGAGAAAGAAGGAGCAGAGTACTTGTAGAATAGGAGAAAGAAGGAGCAGAGCACTTGTAAAAAAAAAGAGAGAAGGAAAATAGTGATTCTGACACTTCTTTATTATTTATAGTATTTATAGTAAAATAAATCTTTAGCAATGTTGATTACATTTTTTATGTTCTCTTCTGTTAAAAGACTCTCATTGAGTCTCCATGAGGCGAATTCGTTAAAAGTTTGCTCTTTTTTCATGGTAACTAAAATAGGTGCATGGTCTAACCATGATATTACGTCTATTTTCGACTTGGAATAATTCTTTAAACTTTGAGTATTTGTCAGAACAGAGACCCAAAACTTGAGGTTGGGCAAAACACCTGGCCCAGATCGATATTAAACTATTATTTCTCAAAACCTTTATAGAACAAATTTCTCCTGCTCTAGAAAATCTATTTAAGAAAGTTCAAGAGCAAAAAATGTTTCCTGAAGAAATGTTAAGAGCTCCCATTCCAAAACCTGGAAAAGACTCCAATTTTGTTTCCAATTACCGTCGAATCTCTTTGATAAATATGGATGTTAAAATCTTATCAAAAATGTTGGCAGAGAGATTGAAGTCAGTGATCCCAGATTTAACAAGCCGAGATTAAGTGGGATTTATTACTAACAGGTATGGAAGCGATAATATCAGGACTCTGATTAATATGATTTCCAACATTAACAACCATATTTCATCTGCTTTTATTACTGTCGAGGCTGAAAAAGCATTTGATCGAGTGAATTGGAACTTTTTATCACAGGTTTTGGACAGATTTGAGATGACTGGTCTATTCAAAGACCTGGTTATGAGTCTAGATACCTGTCCATCAGCTAAGATACAAATATTAGGGTCAATCCAACTATAGAGAAATAGAAAATAACATAGTGCAACTCTGTATAATAATAATATAATAGTGATGTGTGCCAATGGGTCACTTTTTAATCAAACACTTGGTGTTTAATTAAATACTACTAAGTATTGTTGGTGGAAATTGTAATATCACTAAGTGATATAGTGAAAGAGTTTGCACTTTCATCCATCAGCTAAGATAGCAGGATATGGAGCAATATCAGATTGGTTTAAAATAAATAACGGGACCCGTCAAGGTTGTCCACTTTCTTCTTTATTTTATATCCTGTCTATTGAACCACTAGCGGCACTTAGAGATTCAAATAAAGTCTCTGGAATTCCCATGATAGTAAGGGAAAGTAAACTCTTATTATACACTGATACTATACTTACTCTTAGCGATGTAAGAAGTTCAATTCCAGCTACTTTAGACATCATTAAAGAATTTGGGTTTTATTCATGTTATAAATTAAATCTGAATAAAACGCAGTTTATATCTACTAACTTTACAGATGAAACAAAGGAATTCCTCCAGACAACATATCATTTTACCTGGAACAAGGAAACAATTGATCATTTGGGCATTGAGTTATGCTTTGATGTGGATAAGATAGTGCCCTTAAACTATAATAATCTCCTAAAAGAAATTAAAATTATTTTGGACTCATGGAGTAAAGCTTGGGTTTCATGGTTGGGAAAAAATAATGTTGTGAAAGCTTACATAATGCCTAAAATAGAACATGTGATGAGAAATATTCTTTAAGTATTCCAGTTCAAATATCAGAACATTTTCATAACTTGATGTAGAATTATGTATGGGATAAAAAGGCCAGGATCTCTAAGACAAATATGATGAGAAAATCGGATGAAGGCGGAATGTCTTTCCCTGATATATTTCTTATTTCTAATTCTATAATGTTTTCCCATTATAGAGTATGGAACACCATTGGTAAAAACCCACCATTATGGTATCTATATGAGAAATCATGTTGTAATCATGTGGATATACTGGCTGGAACCATGTGTCTTCAAAATCTTAAACGTAGATAATAGAATCATCCACAAGATATATTCATCAGTCAGAAATATAAAAAATAAGTATGTAGACAGCAAGAATACTTTACATTTTCAACACCTTTAAAAATCTTAGAAATATATATTCAATATTTGAATTTTTAAAAGGATGGAAAGAACAAGGAATAGAGCAGTTTGGAGATCTCATGGACAAAGGAAAGATAATGAGGTTCTCCCATATAGAGTATCTTTTAAAGAATATTTTTCATATCTAAGAGTGACATGCTTTTTTATAAAAAAAAAAAAGCTAATTACTGAAAACTCGAACAAAGATAAGCTACTGATATGTGTGGATAAAGAAAAAAATCATCCCAAAAATAAATATTTTACTTTAGTAAAGATAATGGAAAAGCATTGGGAATGATAAATTGGGAAAAAGATCTTGAACAAAAATACTCATTAGAAAACTGGTTTAGTTCTTTTAGAATGTTTTAAAATACAATACATTGTGTTAGTATCTGGGAAACCCAGCTTAAAATTATTTATAGATGGTATCGAACTCCATATTTATTACATAAATTTAATATAGATAACCCGGAAATCTGTTGGAGATGTGAAATGGAAATAGGAACCCATATGCATATTTGGTGGTCTTGTAAAAAACTTGACTTAACTAAAAGATGGATGAAGGAGTTAATAAAATATGTCCTAAATATCGAACCAAATATTGAGATAGAAATGGTTTTTATTTCACCTAGCTTTACCCAAGACTACCAAATATGCAACATTTCTAATGATCCACATTTTTATGGCGATTAAACTCTGTATGGCACGCTATTGGAAGCTGAAGGATATTGCAGGCCCAAAATAAATGTCAGTTCGAATGCCAAAGTAATATAGAAAAAGGGTACATATAAAGCCTTAAATAACCTAAAGATCTATAATAAGACTTGGAATCCCTGGGCATTATACTGCAAAAATCAAAATATTTGAAAAGAATCTATATTCAACTTAGGACTCCACTGTAACTAATCGATATCTAGCAACCCTCGTTTGTTAAATTTAAAAAAAAAAAAAATTGGGGGGGATGTTTTATTGAGGTATAAATTGAGTGTAGTTTACGGTCGAATTATTTTAACATCAAGTGGCTCAAAACTCAAACAAAACTATTTCTTTAAATAATAGATAATCGCCAAACCTATAAGTTGACTAGACAGACTCTTGGAAAATGAATGCTGCTTGTAAACGTGTATATATGTGTGATTTGTATAAATGTTTGTTTGTAACCAATAACAATAAAAAAATTATATTTCATAAATACACTTCAGCTTATTTAACACTAGCACTATTTGATTTGTCTCCCACATTGAAATTAGTGTAGGACCCACCGATATTGGGGTACTGTGAAGTAGTGGTGGGGTCAACGCAACATGGCCATATGGTGGAACTGAATCCCCATATTTGTTTTGCTGAGATAGGTGATTTAAGGCAGCTGTGCAAAATTCCTATTTTAATCAAACACATATTAACATATTTTATCTCCAGAGTAGTTGGACATATAGGTGAACACGTTTAGAATTTCTGGTCAAGGTTGTCTTTTTTAAATGTATACGCTATTAAGAAAATCTTCTCCTAACTTCTCTCTCTATATATATATATATATTTATTTTATTTTTTATTTTTTTTAGCTTCTAGTGATTATCCCAGATTCCTGCCTTCTGTAAATGTAATTGGTGACTACACAACTGCAAAGGTATGGATAACCTTAAAATATGCAATAATAAAGAGTAACATGAATATGTAATTTAACGCTAAACACACAAAATATTTTAAAGGCAAAACAAATTATATATATTTTAAGATCTTTTAATATACAGATAACTATTGTCAAATACAATAGCAGATATTGGGATTAGGGATTTACACTATCAAGCATTTAGAAATACTGAAATGGTATTGCATTAAAATACTAGTAAAGTATAAAAGGTTGCCTAAACAACCACTAAATCTTAAGGTAGTCAGTAATATATATATATATATATATATATATATATATTTTTTTTTTTTTTTAAATAAATAAACTGCTTAATTCCTTTATTAGCTTAAAGGGGCAGTATAGGCAATGTAATGCTCCATTTAGTTGAAGTAGTTATAATTTCTGAAGTCAACTGGTGCTGACTGTTTTTACGTTTTAATGCTAAGTGTGAGTCCTCAGCAACCTATCCCTTATGTTCTGATTGATTGACCCTTCCACCTCCTGGACAGCTCACTAAGAATGCAGCTTCAAAATGGATGCTGTCCAGGAGGTGGGAGGGTCTGGGAGGAAGGGTCTGCTGCTGATTGGCTGGAATGTGTCTGCTGACTGTGAGGTACAGGGTCAAAGTTTACTCAATGATGAGTCCGTGGCGAACCGTTCGGCGAACCGTTCGGGACATCACTATTTAGGAGTAATGTTCCTAGATATTTTAATTGGGAGAACTGCCAATTAATTTACTCCAATTTTGTGTCTAAGATGGGACTTTCTGGCCCAGTTGTTATTTGCATAGATTTGGAAGCGAAAGATGGGACAATAGTAGGTGGGAGTATACTAGTCATTTTCTGATACTTAGGAGGTAGGGTTGCAAATGTGGTCGGTTTAAGTATATAGGAGCTTTCTTGGTAGCCACAGTATGTTTCTGAGTTCTGCAGTAGTTGGATTTAATATGTAATTTTAGCAGATCAGGACCCATATTTATTTCAGTGCTGACTAGAATATTGGGGAATCGTCTGTTGAGAAATATCTCGAAATAATTACAAAGCAGCGGAGTTCAGACTTTTCACATGTTTCTTTTTCCTATATACATGGTTCTCTAGTTTTTTGGGGGGTTTTTTTGTTCTTTTTTTAAACTTTTTCATTTGATTGGTAAAGGCAGTACAGATCAAAAAACATATCACACTGTACAATCACTGAATATGATCCTGTCTGAGTTTTCAAAATATTTTAAGAAAACCTGAGATAATACAAAAGAGCAAAAAATGGGATGGGGACGAAGCCTGCATCGGACCGAAACTGTCGCATTGTAATTGATTACAAATCTGCAAAAGTATAGAGCTCCATTGCTTTTTTGGAGAGTAAACCCACCTTTCCTTTTGGATATGGGTCGCAAAAAAAAATAAGAAGCTAATAGTGAATAGAGCCTCTAACATCCTTGATATTAGCATTCTTATTCAGTGCTCTCAAAGTGAATTTTGACCCAAGATGGCACGTCATGTAGAAGGGTTCTCTTTTTCTTCCTCAGAAGACATCTCCATGGAACATGGAGAGGAGACCTCTTATAGCCCACCACTTAATGCTACTCCATCATCCATAGGGAACTTCCAACCTTCAGGGCTGCTGAAAAGTATGCTTGCAGAACTGTGGTCCAACATTGGCTTACAACATTGGCTCCCACTATACTAGATTGCATCTATTGAGCAGAAGCTTACTGACCTCCAATCGATCCACCAAAATACCAGTTTTTGCATTGCATCAGAATACAGCTTCTACTGAAAAAAAACTAATTTTATTTACATGCTATTTGTGGCCTTGATGCTGCCAAAACAAGCCCAATCACTTCATCTAGATAGCATGCTCTGTCCGAGTTGACTGCTTTAACGGAAAGACCCAATTTAATTTTAAAGGCAAGTTTTCCTCTTCTATCCAGATCGAATACTTTCCCGGGGCAGGTCCTTATGGCAAGTTCTTTGCTTTGACATCTCTTATTGCTGAAGTATACTAAGATTTGCACTTGTTCACTTATCAGGACTCTGTTTATTGAGTGCAACATTTTCAAGTTTTGGACACACAAGTGAGGCATTGTACTGGCTCCCATAGTACATGCTGTAGGCCTTCACAAATTTTCCCTCCTCAATTTTATCGTCAAACTTTGCTGAGTTGGCAATTACATGATCTACTCTACACTCCGAACATGCCCAGGACTGTACAGCTCTATCTACACCTAAAGATATATGCAATTTTGCTTTTTTTGCAATTATTCATTGTTCTATTTCTTTTTTCATTTACTCTCCCGAGTGGACACTCTCCTGATTGAGTAAGACTTATGTCGCTTACATTTTGTTTTGGTTTTTTTCAGTTCTTCACTTTGGCTCATATTGGTACATGTATTTGTATAGATATAATTTTTTTCTTGTTGAAACCTGTGAACTATACCTACCCCCTTGTCTTGATGATATGATCATGCTTAGCTTCTGTATGTTGACGTATTTCGGTTAGATGCTGGTTTGTTTATCTACAGGATTGTTTAATAAATGTGGCACACTATTGGTTCTCATTGTTAGCCCTTTAGAGATCAATGATATGTCACTATGCTAGTTTTACTTTTACTTTATTATTAACCATACAAGGCTTCAATCCATCCACTCATTGTACACTGTACAATGCATATTGATACTTGCATATTGTTGACATGCATGTTTCTCTTATGTGTGGATTGAGATATATAATTGTATTTTTGCACACAATGTAATCAAGGCACAATGAAATCCTAAGAATTTAAATGTGGGTGCCAATAAACAGAGAATTTATTTGTGTACAAATGCCCTTCATACCTAAATAAAACAAAATGTAGAAAAAGTAAAACAATAGTAAATAGGAGGGGTGAGAAAAGAGAAATGAAAGGGTTACCACCATGAGTGGTAACAGATGTTGTCTCTATTCCCGTATGCTTAATGTAAATCCTGTGCATGTTTTACATCATGTAACAATCCTGTAAAGACAAAGCTCCTGCAAAGGAAAGCAAGCTTGCCCCTCCCTCCCACCCTGTGTGCGTCTCCTCCCACCCTGTGTGCGTCTCCTCCCACCCTGTGTGCTTGCATGTGAATTATATGTGTATGTGATGCCATTTTAGAATGAGAGTTGATTGTCAGAAAGCTGTAACAAAACTTGGGACAAAGTGGGATTTTCTCAGACTTGAAGGGATCCTATAGTGCCAGGAAAACCTGAAGAGATTAAATCCCCTTCTGCCACTTACCTTAATCAAGCGCCGGGATCCCTCAGTGCTGGTGACCTCTCCTCCCCTGCCGACGTCAGCTCCCGAGTGGAGCCGAATCCGCATGCGCGGCCAGAGGCGTGCGCACATTGAAACCTGCCCATAGGAAAGCATTACTCACTGTTTTCCTATGGGGATCTTTTTTGATGCTGGAGGTCCGTGAGGACGTCCAGTGTCAAATAACTGCGATTTGGTCCGTGTAATGGAGACAGCCACTAGAGGCTGGATTAACCCTGCAGGGTAAACATAGCAGCTTCTCTGAAACTGCTATGTTTTCAGCTGCAGGGTTAAAACTAGGATGACCTGGCACTCAGACCACATCACTGAGCTGAAATGGTCTAGGTGCCTATAGTAGTGCTTTAAGGCAAGAAGGTTTATGCAGGATTCAGCCTTAGTTATATCATCAAATATTTATTAAATGATAAGCTTACTCTCTTCAACATCTTTTCACTACTAATATCTTTCTTCGGAGTAACACTTATGCTTTCATCTACTCCAGGGGTAGGCAACCTTTTACAGGACTGTGCCGATATAGGATTGTGATGTCCCGTAGCGTGCCGGTCCTATTTTTTTTTTTAATTGAGGGGTGTATGCTGCCGTATTCTGCTTGTGTTATTTTTACTGTAATTGCTTTGTATCGTTGTATTTGTGCGTATATGCAGGGCTGTCTTTAATAGTGACTGGACCCTGGGCAAAGCATTTGCTTGGGGCCCCCTGGACCTTGTCCCCCCTCCCCAAGCATGCAATCACGTCCTCCACCTCAATGCAGTGGCGGACCTAAAGTAGAGAGGTGCAAGAATTTTTGGGGGTCTCCCTGTTGCATGGGTGATTAAAAGGTAGATCCCCATCTGTCGTGCAACTCCAGAAATGCATTGACAGCTGGGGGTCTACCATTTACCCATGTTTGCAGGTCTGTATTTAGCACTAAGCAGTTTTTGTGTGTTTGAATGTAAACAGGTTTTTGTATGGAATATGTTTGTATGTGGTGTTGGCGTGATTGCAAGCATGTATTTGTGTAGTGTTGGTTTTTGAATGCAGGGGTGTATTTACATATAATTTTGGTGTGTAACACAGACATGTGTTTGTACGTAGTGTTGAAATTTGAATGCAGAGGTGTATTTGTGTGTAGTGATAGTGTGTGAATGCTGAGATGTATGCACATATACACACACAACACACACAGATATATATACACACTGAAATGCGCACACACGCAGATATACTGACACACATACAGACATGCTGACATACAAACATACTGACACACAGACATGCTGACACACACAGATGACACACACACACACAGACATACTAACACACACACACACACTGACAGACATACTGACAAAGACATACACTTTAAAACCCACCCTCCAGTTTCCTACCTTTCCTGCTGGTGGCTGAAGGTGTTGGGAGTTGGGGTCTAGCGCTCTCGGCCAGCCCCCCTCCAATTTGCCTACTCTTCTTTCCCGCGCGCTCCTCTCTTTGTGGGAGGAAGTGATGCGCGGCCGTCACTTCCTCCCAGCCTGCTGCCGAAAAGCAAGGGGCCCGCTCGCGCTGTTAAAGCGCCTCAGCGTGCGCCGGGCCCCTGCTGACAGAAGCCCACCGGGTGGTCCTTTGTGCATGGGCCACCTGTTGAGCCTCCTTAGTGTGCGGATTACCGGCCAGAGGGTTAGAAATAGTTGAGGCTAGCAGGGCTCATGGTACAGCTGGCCAGTTTGCCCCACGTTAAAGACGGCCCTGCGTATATGAGCTATTATATTGTATATGTTCATGAGTAGTTTATGGTATTGTGTATGATGCATATGAATGTGGGCTGTGTATAGGGGCTGCTTGTGGAATCTACATAACATCACTTTAGAGTAGACCTTACATTTATTAAAACCTTGTTTTATTAAAAGAGCAAAGAGTGATATTTCCATGCAATGTAACATTTTATAACTCAGCAATATGATGGAATTTGGTGAGGGGCTGAATATTTTTAAAAGACTGGCTGTGTATCTATCAATACTTAAATTATAAGAATTAATAACACATAGCCAACAATTATGGCAAATTTTCTCAACTTTCATCTAATTTATTTTGCATTTGAGGGCATACAAGACTGTAAAACAATGAGACAACGATCTCTATATAATCACATTGCAGGTTTTCACCCGCCTAAGTTTCAAAAGGATTTCTAATTAGGGTTGTGTAATATAATTATGTTCAAGCAAATGCTTTAATTAGTATAGTACATTTTTTATCATCTAAGTGGCAATTATTTAGACTTTAGATGTCTTTGAACATTTATAGTCCGGGAATCAGGTTTTACATTATTAGTTCTAAAAACCTTTATACGTGTTGATTTGGTTTAGTATTACCATGGTTTGCCCCCAATGTTTTATTAGTAGGTGGGCATTCTCACTTACAGCTGTAATCAAGTGAGGATCAATTTAAATTTAGATCAACTCTGTTAGATATTTTTTCATTTGTTTCAATTGAATCTAAATATTACATGTTGGTTCTCATCTCACCATAGAACCCCAAGTTTTTTGATCACTTAGTCTCATCTTGTATATCCACTGTATGTAAAGGGCAAGGAGGCTTGCGTTTTTTTTTTGGTTTTTTTTGTGTGAAAGGAATGTTTGTGGTGCCCATTGAAATCACAAGTAATGGATTTAAAGGAACACAACAGGGTCAGGAACACAAACATTTAGAATGTGTGAAATCAGGAAGGAGGCAGGATGTGGGCGGAACAAACACAGTCTTTGCCAATCCGCATCTCCTCATAGAGATGCATTGAATCAATGCATCTCTATGAGGAAAATTCAGCGTCTCCATGCAGAGCGTAGAGACGCTGGCAGCGCTGCCCCAGGAAGCACCTCCTGTGGCCACTTGAGATGTCCCTAGGGGCAGGGTCGTATTTGCCGCGTGGCAAACAAGGCATTTGCCCAGGCAAATACCTTGTTTGCCTGGCGGCATTCGGCTAAGAGTGCAGGCGGTTGTGCAGCTAAGAATCCAGGCGGGCGGCGCTGGCGAGGGAGCACTGATTTGTCATATTCCGGCATCACTCTGCGGCGCGCTAGGGAGCTGAGCAGAGACAGCGCACTAATCAGTGCTCCCTCGCCAGCGCCGCCCGCCTGCATTCTTAGCCGGACAACCGCCTGCATTCTTAGTCGGACAACCGCCTGCATGCCTGCCTCCCTTCCTGTCAGAAGCCCCACTGGACCCCAGGTAAAAATAAATCCACCCAGCACTCCAAAAGGTAGGGAGGCTGGGTGGATTTAAACTAAAATAGAAAAGGTAATTGGTTAATGTGGGGGGGGTGGAGGGGGAGACATGGTTAGATTGGAAGTTTTTCATATCTTAGAATATTTTATATTCTTGTATATTGTGGGTTTTTTTTTGTTTTTTTTATATGACCAAAATTACCTAAAAAATAAATTGACCAACTTTGTTTTTCATGTTTACTAAAATTGTATTATATCCCATGACCCATTGTTTTTGTTGAAACACAATTTAAACAAATATTCAAACATACTAATTGGTATTTGCCCTGAACTTTGCTAAATGAGCATCCAGTTACTGTGTAACCAGTATGTCTTACCAGGCTTTTTGAACTTTTTCACTGCTAAACTAAATCATGTGTGCCTGGGGTGCAATTAGCCACTGGAACACAATTTAAAAATTCTCTGCAGTGTTTCAAGCCGATACACTGCTCATATCGGTGCAGTCTTGGAAGTATAATTCCCACTAATCTTAGAAGGCAGTTATATGTATGTTCCCACACTGATTGGTGTCAGTCATACTACGCATTAAATAGACTCTATCAGCACCCACACAATTTAATCTCCACAAACGGCAATGTTTTCTTTGTAGAGTTTACACACCTCTAGTGACTCTCTGGAAGACAGCCAGTACAGGCTCTACCGCAGCTATAACAGTTAATCTTCGTTATAGCTCAAATTACCTTCATTTGATTGGCACACTTCTCCTATGGGGAAGTACTTGATTGGCTGAGATCATCAAGCTTAAGGATCTCAACCAGGGAGGCAGAGTGACAGCACAGAGACCAGCGCAGGGTGTAAAGTAAGTAAATCTTACCTTTTTACTTACCCTTACATAGATAAGGGAACACTATAGCGTTAGGAAGACATGTTTGTATATGTAGAATAACTTTTTTTGGGGTGGGGGTTGTGTGTGCATGTGGGATGTAACAAAACATTGCATTGATGATTTTATTTTATTATGTGAATTTGTTGACAACCTTTGATAATTGAGACTCACAATTCTTCTACAATTTTTTGTTTATATATGAAAACGTGTTGCATCTGTGTGTATATGGTGGTGCACTGTCTTACCATAATTTGTGCCATTTCAGAATGTCCTTAGTGCGGTTTATCAGACATTACGAGTGACACGATTGCTTTTGAGATGTCAAGAGTTTATTCTCCGAGGGACATACTGGCTTATGTGAGTAAGTTTAGATAAAGGTCAACAAAGAGTTCTTCTAAATATATATATATATGTATATATATATATATATATATATATATATATATATATATATATTGGATATGTATGTTCAGGGAAGGAAGGCAGAGGGACCCTTGAGATTACTAGCATGCATGGGTTGTATGCAGCCTCACAACACCATTCTTTTGTTGATTAAAAGCAGAGGGAGGAGCAGTGGGATGTATGTTAGCAGAGTACTGCAGGAGTGAGACAACCAAGGCTGACATCAGGGGGTGACGGCTATTACTCAGGTAAGGAACCTGGTAGAGCAATGTGGCCAGCATGGAACAGGCAGCATTCTGCTATTCCAGCACACCAGGCCCCTGCACTTACCACACTAATTGGCTCTTCTTCACGCCTGTGCGGCAGCGTTGTGAAGAAGTGATGTCATATCACTCCTGCCAGCCCTCATCGACGCCTTGTCGGATGTTAGAAGAGGAGCCAGGCGCTCCAAGTGTTATACCTGCCCGATCATCATTAGACCCTGGATGGCCACCTTCTTTCTGTTTTAATATAATATAGCAGGCTGTATGTCTGCTATGATAAATAGGAACATAGAAATATTCTACAGTGTATATCTGGCTGTATGTTTAGCAGTGTTTGTATGTAACTGGGTGTGTTTAGCAATGTGGGTGTTTAGGCAAGTGAGTATCAGTTTGTGTATATTTGTAGTAGGGCGTGTGTGTTTGTGTGTGTGTGTGTATGTTTAGCAGACTGTGTGTTTAGTATTGAGTGTGTGTCTGGCTGTGTGTATACGTGTGTTTGTGCCTATTACTGTGCATCCCTCTCTGGGAGCATATCTCTGCCTGGAAGCCATGTGTGTAGGGGGGCGCAGCCAGTGTTTTTGTAAGAGGCTTTAAGAATGTACAGGTTTGCACTTGTGTTAGATGCCATCTCAATGCTCTCCAGGCCACTAGAATATTTCATGGGGTATAGGATCTGCACCAAAAAAGGCAATTGAATTGCCCTTATATTTAATTAAATTAACTTTTCTGCTATGTAACTATGTAACTCTTCGTGTTATCTTTTGACCTGCTCCATACTGGTGTGGTACTGTAATTACAATACAAACACAATGGATGGTGCATATACTTTTCTCTCTCTCTCCTCTAATTCAGTATAATGCTGTGGAGATAGAGGGATACACAAAATAGTGCAGACAGCTTAACAATGAATACTTAAAGAACGATATGTGCAAGGAAACACTCACAAAATCAGAGCCAATATAGAACCTGGCTCTGGTATAGATGGCTTCAGGATCTATTCCAGGGTGATCCTAGCCCTTCTGTGGCTGGTTGATGTCTCCAGTAGAGGTGTTTCCAATAAATAGGAGAGGATCCAATAGATGGAATAATAAAAAGTAAGTTTATTGAAAAATATATATAAAAAAACTATATAAATAATGAAAAGATAAGATATCAATAAGCCAATACGCGTTTCGCCTGTTGTGGCTTCCTCAGTTGGCTCTCCAGTCCTATATCCAGTCCATGTCCATTATAAATACTTGTTTGAATTACAGTTCGTGGGTAATTCCGTTTTGGAACGCATTTGTGTGTTCCATTCCTTCATTTGCATGTACTTCCTCCTTCCGGCCGCGTGGGTAAGCCAATGTCACTTCCGGGTTTCTAAATTTGATTCCGAGTGGAATGCATAATGCGTTCCACTCCAAGTTACTTCCTGGTTCCCATATGACTTCAGCCTCCAATCGTGAATGGAACGCATTCATGCGTTCCAAACCTCCTCCTGGCCCTCGATCCCACTGCGGTCATGTAACCCATGCAAAAGGGAGCAAAAACATCAAGAAGCATCACGCATGATTCCATAAAATATACATTCTTTTTCTTAAACAAAATCAAATCTAAACATACACCTCATACAAATTCCACACATTCTTATAAATTATATTACTTCAAGTAGCAGATATACATGAAATGGTAACTATTATGTAAACCACATAAATTGATATTATTGGGCATTTTCAAATGGTGACCACGCAGATTATATTGTATACAACAATAAATAAATGTTTGCATTCTCAACCTTTAAAGTGACAGTGCAGATTATGTGGAAACGGTGGATTTCTCTACCAGCTTTTAAAGGACCATACATATTTTACCAAAGTGCATAAAAAGGGGGGAAAGCGGATCTTTGTATATGAGCGTATCTAATGAAATAATTAAATGATTACTTTCTAATAATATTGAGAAATAAAATTACGAACTTAAAGGCACTATTATATACCTCCACCTTTGTCTGCAGGCTCAATCATGACACTTTCATCGTTCCTTAAATTGTCGACAGCTTTAAATTCTGGCATAGTCAAATTATTTTGGAAATATTTTTTGGAGGAGTTGTAATATTAAAAACTGATAGTTATACTAAAGAAGCAGAAAGAATCCTATTAGACACCAATACATATAAAAAAATAAATATGAACCCAAGTTTAAATATACAAGAAAAATTTGAAAGTTATATTTCAAAAGGTGTCACATTAGGAATTCTAACTGAAGAAGAGAAAAAATACCTATCAATTACATACCCAAAAACACCGTTTTTTTATTACTTACCTAAAGTTCACAAAAATAAAGACAACCCTCCAGGTAGACCAATTATCTCAGGGATAGATTCGATTTCCTCAAGGGTTTCGGAATATATAGATAGATTGTTACAACCAATCGTTATAAAGAATCCTTCCTATCTAAAGGATACTATCCATATGCTTCAAACCCTAGAGGAAATTGAATGGCAAGACAACTATTTGTTAGTAACGTGCGATGTCAGCTCTCTATATAGTATTATACCTCATCATTTGGGAATAGAGGCAATAAAATATTTCTTTTAAAAATCCGATTTTAAAGAAATACAAATTGATTTTATAGTAGAGGGTATTTTATTAATTTTAACCAATAATTATTTTTGTTTTAAGGATTCTTTTTTTCTACAAATTACAGGTATGGCGATGGGCACCAAGTTCGCGCCAAGCTATGCAAATTTGTTCATGGCATATTGGGAAGAATCATTTATTGCACAAAATGTGCAAGCTGCGAGCTTGGTGTCCTATCGCGGTTATATCGATGATATTTTTTTCATATGGGAAGATGGTGAGGCACACCTCAATAGGTTTTTAGAAGCTTTGAATCATAACGAGTGGGGAATCATTTTAACATCCACGTATAGCAACAATCAGATCAATTTTTTAAATCTGGAAATTTTTATCTCAGAATCAAAATTACACACAAGGAACCCTTTTAAAGAGGTAGATGCGAATAGTTTCATTGAGAAGAAAAGCTGCCATTACACTCCCTGGTTAGAGAACGCTCCCTAAAACCAATTTTTAGGAATAAGACGTAATTGCACCCAAGACAGTGATTACATAACACAAGCAAAAAGAATTAAAGAACAATTTGTAGAAAAGGGATATAACCCAATATAATTAACAGCCTGTATGGAAGAAGTAAAAACAATAAAGAGAAATGAACTCATTAGATATAAAGGGAATACATCAATAAAGAAAAGAAATTTGAAAAATAAGTCAATTAAAGATTCACTTCATATGCAATCATAGTGGGAATAATACGAAAATAAGGAAAATTATTCACAAATATTGGCCTATCTTACAAGAAGACACCATTTTAAAACAGATCCTACCTCCTAAACCAATGGTAGTATACAGAGGGTGTAAAAATTTGAAACAGATGGTGGTTAAGAGTAGCCTTACCACTAAACAAACTGGACATTTCTTAAATAAAAATAAAGATTTCTATGGATGTGGTTCCTGTCTAGCTTGTAGGGAAACTAATCAGAAGAAGACATATTACTTCTTTTCATTAACAGAAAGAGAAAACATTTACGATCAAAAACCAGCTAACATGTTTTTCTAAAAAAGTTATTTATATCCTTAAATGCCCCTGTGATCTCATATATGTGGGAAGAACTATTAGAAGTGTGCACGTATGAATTGCAGAACATATAAGGAATATAAAAAGGACTAGAAACACATAGTGTTTCAAACCATTTTAAAATCCACCATAATAAAGATCCAGAGAATGTTTTTCTTGTGCAATAAAAGCAGTACATAGAGATTGGAAGGGGGGAGATTTTAACAGAAAAATAGGAGAAGAGGAGATGAAATGCATCTATAATCTTAAAACATTGATTCCACATGGGCTCAATCAAGATTTTGAGCTATGTCATTTTTTATAATTTTATAATTTTGTATATTTTTATAATATTTTTAGGTATTTTTATAATCAATAGTTGCTGGTTTTAAAAGAAAGAAGATAAGAGGGGATCTGTTTTCCTCTTCCTGAATAGAGATGTCGCGAACCGTCCGCGAGCTTCCCGCGAACGGTTCGCCGCGAACTCCGGTCAGCTGACACATCCCGGCCAATCTCCGGCAGACCCTCCCTCCCAGACCCTTCTACTTCCTGGACAGCATCCATGTTGAAGGCAGCTTCAACATGGATGCTGTCCAGGAGGTGGGAGGGTCTGCCGGATATTGGCCGGGATGTGTCAGCTGACCGGAGTTCGCCGCGAACGGTTCGCCACATCTCTATTCCTGAATAGTGTGCATTTGATATATTTATTCTAAGCTTTACTAAGCAGGATATCATGTTCCCTTCTAAAATTAAAAAGACCCCTCGTTCAAGTCTGAATAATAGTGTCTTTAAGTTTGTAATTTTATTTCTCAATATTATTAGAAAGTAATCATTTAATTATTTCATTAGATACATATACGCTTTCCCCCTTGTTTATGCACTTTGGTAAAACATGTATGGTCACTTTAAAAGCTGGTAGAGAAATCCACCGTTTCCACATAATCTGCACTGTCACTTTAAAGGTTGAGAATGCAAACATATATTTATTGTTGTATACAATATAATCTGCATGGTCACCATTTGAAAATGCCCAATAATATCAATTTATGTGGTTTACATAATAGTTACCATTTCATGTATATCTGCTACTTGAAGTAATATAATTTATAAGAATGTGTGGAATTTGTATGAGGTGTATGTTTAGATTTGATTTTGTTTAAGAAAAAGAATGTATATTTTATGGAATCATGCGTGATGCTTCTTGATGTTTTTGCTCCCCTTTTGCATGGGTTACATGACCGCAGTGGGATCGAGGGCCAGGAGGAGGTTTGGAATGCATGAATGTGTTCCATTCACGATTGGAGGCTGAAGTCATATGGGAACCAGGAAGTAACTTGGAGTGGAACGCATTATGCATTCCACTCGGAATCAAATTTAGAAACCCGGAAGTGACATCGGCTTACCCACGCGGCCTGAAGGAGGAAGTACATGCAAATGAAGCAATGGAATGCACAAATGCGTTCCAAAACGGAATTACCCACGAACTGTAATTCAAACAAGTATTTATAATGGACATGGACTGGATATAGGACTGGAGAGCCAACTGAGGAAGCCACAACAGGCGAAACGCGTATTGGCTTATTGATATCTTATCTTTTCATTATTTTATATCGTTTTTTATGTATATTTTTCAATAAATTTACTTTTTATTATTCCATCTATTGGATCATCTCCTACATATTGGAAACACCTCTACAGGAGACATCAATCAGCCACAGAAGGGCTAGGATCACCCTGGAATAGATCCTTAAGCCATCTATACCAGAGCCAGGTTCTATATTGGCTCTTATTTTGTGAGTGTTTCCTTGCACATATCGTTCTTTAAGTATTCATTGTTAAGCTGTCTGCACTATTTTGTGTATCTCTCTATCTCCACAGCATTATATTGAGAAGATGAGAGAGAGAGAAAAGTATATGCACCATCCATTGTGTTTGTATTGTATGTATCTTTCTGTGTTGGTATAGGGGATACCACACGGTTGTTTGAGCATTTTTGTCACCAACTGTGCCATTGGTATTTGTTTGGTACTGTAATTAGTTGAAAAATTTATATATTTTTTTTAAAACGTATCTTAATCTTTGTTTAGTCTGTGAACCTGCAATTTTGCGTGTTGACCTGGATTCCTGTTATTCATAGTTTCTGAAAAGTGAACAGAAATTAGATTTAAAAACACAGGTTAACAGCTTGCACATTGGCATGAACGACACTCAGGAGTAAATCTGATTGTTCTGCTCAGGTTTTTATTACAGAGGAAATGCTTTCACATGCACATCAGACACATACAGTCAAAAAACAGTATTTCTTACTTGTGATGAGTTTGTTATATGGTAAGCTGTTATGCCTTTTAATTAAAGTGAACCAATCTGTTCAAACCAGCTTATGTTCATAAATGGATCCCTTAAAATGGTGCCTAGCGGGGCTGTACCTTAATGAAAAGGTATGTAATAAAATGCAAAATGGTAGTCTGGGCTTGATTTTTCTCATCTGGAGATAGATGGCACACATTGGGCAAGAACAATTCAGACTTGTTCCTGACTATTAAATTATTGCCCATACTACGTTTGAGCTGATTTCATTTCCATCCACATTAGTTACAGTTTCTGCTTCTTGTTGACATTAATTACAGTTCACATTATTCACAGTCTCTGCCTCTTTAAATGGAATGAGTGATTTTTTGACTACTTTGTACTTTTACAGATTAAGTAGTCCTGTCACCTAGAATTGAACCTGTCAAGAGTGTGTCATGGGAGCCATTTATTAGTGCCTGAAATGGTTTGTAAAGCAAATGTAAAATAGCTTTCGTGTAAAGATTACAGTTACTGAAATAATAACAATGCTTAAAATCTGTAAAAATAAAAAAAATAATATGAGTGTAGCTTGGTACATTTTGTGATATAATGAATACAAGTTCAAACACAATGTCTACAATGCAGGCCCATTGGCTAATCAAACCATGGTAAAATATGTCAAAATGGTCTACAGAGCTTCTACCTCCCTTAGTTACAGTGGCAACGCATGCATAGTGCAGCTCCCCTCCAGAACATTGTTGTCATAATAAAATAAAATATAAAAATGTATTACCTGTGATAAAAATGGTAAACTAGGGAAAGTGTTACCTTACAAATTTCTGTCATAAATGGTAGACCTACACTATTTTAGGCTGGTACATACATACTGATAATTAATTATGTCTGTCTGGATAAGTTATTGAGAGCAACTGGGCATGTGTAGAATTTAGGTAATTAGCTAAAAATGACCACTCTCTCAGAAGGCTACCAATGGCAATTTCTGAACTGTCCCTTTTAATCTCTGTGCCTACAGAAAAACATTATTTTTTTCTGTGACAGTGTTTCAATCGGAAAATAATCATAGCAAGATAACAATTATACAATGCGTCTAATGACAAAGTGATATCAACATAAGGTCATCATGTAAGATAACAGTGCAATTATAGATATACATGTACAAGGGTCTAAGCTATCACATATTCTGTTGTAATAAGAGAGAAGAATGATCAGATAGTAATGAAATAGAGGTTCTCCCAACCTCCGCGCAAATGGATGTATCCCTTGTTTGTTAAGAAAGAAAACTAATATATTAAGCAATAATCCTTTATGGACTACCTGGTGCTGCTGTACTGCATTGGCTTTAATACTCTGCTTCAGAGTTTGTATCTCTGAGTGTCATGGCCAAGAGAGAGTTCAAAAGATAGGGAGAGAGATTCTGGAGTACAGAATTAGAAGAGAGAAGGGAAAAGAGAAATCGTCTAGGTGTGGAGAGGGAGTGACAATGTAAATGAAGATATAGGGCAGCAAGAATCTTTTGGTAATAGCCCTTGCACCGGGCAATGGTCCTTCCATTAGAAGAAGGTGTCTGTTCACCAGCAGGAACCGCGAACTGGCATGAAATGCTCATAGGTTAGCACCTTAATCTATTACATCGCTAGACAGCAATGGAGAGAAAAACAGTTCTATGCCTTTGCCAGAGATGAATGTATCTTTGGTAATAGGATGCAGCAGATGTCCATGAAGAATATTTAGGTTTCATGCTAAAAAAAAATTGCATACTAGGTGTATTTTATTCACTATGTCAGTAGTATTTAATTCACTACGTCCGTAAAATAAAAACTCTCAGAGCAGTCTTATGATAAATGGATCATATTTAATAAATTAACTAAGCCACATATACACAGAACAATTAGACTCTAAACACATGCACCAAATAACCAACACAATTCTCTTTCCTAAACAATATTAACATTTTAAGATAATACATGTAGGGGGGTTATTCACTAAACAGGGTTTTGAAAACACGTGCGTGACGTTCACAATAGATAAATAGTGAATGTGCTTGATGTGGAGAGTGATTCAATACTGAATATTGACTATATCTTGAAAATGTGTTCTCTAAATATTGTATTACTATTTAATGAAGTACAAGCATGTATGCAGGGTGTAAGTGCAAAGTACATGGCACTGAGACTGCAGAAAAATGTTAATTGCCCTTTATACAGAACAATCAAAAGCAACCGCTGACCCATTAGTGCAGAGGAATTGTCTTGTGCCTCACATCAAATCTATAATATAGATAATGTATTTAAGAAAGTAATATAACTTTAAAAGCCCTTTTCTTAATTTTGATATTTCAATTGTTTAAATATCTACACATATAATCAGGCACAAACACATACAATCACAGTAAAGGGAATAACCTAGCCGGTCCCTGTGGCTAATCCAAAATACGGACTACTATTCTGCTGGTAATATTCTTGCATACCGTTCCTGGCCTGTATTTTTAGTATTTTTAATATATTTTGTTAATAAACTTGTTATTTTTACCCATTTTTTTGTAACCATTTCTTTTAAGTGGTTTTTTAGCGATACCTTTTTTGTATTGCATTATAGAAAACCGTTCTATATACTGTATTTCTATTCTATGTGGTTTATATCTTTTTCTACAAAGTATAATATTTGGTGTATATTTCATTTATTCTGCCCTTAGCAAATGTAAAGAAATACACACTTGCTGCACTTTTCTCTTCCTGAATTGCTTGATCTATCTTATTAATTTTATTACTTGCACTATCATATTTTAATCCCAATTTTACTATAACCATAGTACTAGTGACATCATATTCAAAAGCCAGGGTGTTATTCCCTTTACGATATTTCTTTGGACAGGTTTTTGGTGAATCCTTGCCTGTATCCAGTTTTGAGCAATATACCATAAGTATGACTCCATCATCCCTGTGTGTTGCAATAGGCATACCAGATCAATATTTTACATACAATCACAGACCTAGATGCACAATCACAAATACACACAATCACAAACACACAGACCTATGCACACAGTCACATACACACCCATAATCACATATGTACGCACACACATACAATGATATACACATACAATCACATACATACATACAATCAATCACAGACTCTCACACGCATACATTTACAGACCTATACACACAATCACAGATATACCCCAATGCAATCACAGACCTGTACATACAATCCCATACATAAACACACACACACAATCACAGACCCACACACATAAAATCACTGACTTATATACAGATACACACACATAATCACAGATATACACACTCAGAGACCCTCAGACACATGCATAATCCCAAACTTATACACAAAATCACTGACAAAATATACACAAAAATCACATATACACCCATTTAGTACTAAAGAGGTGCTACCTTGCTCTCGGAGGGCTGGAATTGATCCTCTGTCGCTGGTGGCTAGTGGTTGCTGCTGATCTGAGATCTATCTCTGTGCTCTTCCTGCACAGTTCCCTCGCGCGTCATATCCTGGTGGCCAGCCACTGCAGGGTGCACGAGGTAGCTGTCTAGGAAGAGCACAGGATGTAGTGGGCTATCTTGCCGCCCGGACAGCAACCGTGCCGCACTGCTAGTGGTCCCGGATGCATGCGACCTTCAGGCCGTGGGGACACCCCAGCTTTAAGGCATGCATCATCTATGTGTCCACAATGTTTCCACTGATGTACCAGAGGATACATTGTGAAGAAACATGTGGCAGGAGACTCAAAGTATACCATACGAGGGTCAATTTACTTGACTTTTCTGAGGTCTGAGGTCAGAAACTGTCTCCCAATGCCCAACATTTTAAGGATGGCAACCTTACTGGCAGATTACTTTTTGGTCAGTATAAATGTATGCTTATACTTGGTTTATGTGTAGTCAAAGGTATGTTTGTGCAATTTATTAAAAAAATAAAATCTTGCTTTGGACTTGTTAGGCATCATCATTTTATGTGTGATGACTTAAACATGAAGGCCTTTGATTTTCGAAAACACTGCTTTTGCATTGCTAGAAAAAGGGACATCATCTGTTCACAAAAATCACTACTTAAAAATTCAGTGTTTTTGGTGCTTCTGTTGTCACTTTAATAACATCAATTCCAATTATGTGTTTTTTTTTTCTTTTTCTTTTTGAAAATACATTTGTAGTAGGAATGTCAGATATTGTCAAATGCACTCATGACATACAGTGAATAGTAAGCATTATGAGAGGTAAAGCAAGGTTGTATAGAAATCAACACTCCAAACATTTTGAATATGTAATCCTTAAAAATGAAAGGAAAGGGAGTTATAACCTTTAAACAATAAGTCGCCTCCCAACCCCCTCCAAGCAACCTCATCCCATTTTTCTTCTTCTCCCATCACAAGGTACATTTCTATTGGGATAGTACAATTTGGAGGAGTGATGACCTTTCATTGATAAGTGTTTCTTAATCCTGCGTCTGGATTGGCTACACGGATCGAGAAATGCTAATCAAAACTGCTCTTCAGAGGTTCATTAAAGAGAGACCGTATAATTCGAATACAGCATGCACATAAAATTCAAGGGTCATTTGGTTAAAAGGGGGATAGTCTGTAGTGAGTTCAATGGAAGGGGACATTTGGCCCTTGTGTATGTATACAACATATTAAGATAAAAATGTTATCAGTATTTTTATGATTGACTTTTAGTCTTTTGTATTGCAACAATGTAACTTTCTCATCACAGTGAGAGCATTAAAGAACAATGCCGGCGCATCCTAGATAAGAATTCTTCAGTGGTATCCATCTTGAACTGTCTGGTCAATATTAACAACAAGACTACACGACTGTAAGTATGGGCAGACCTTCTCGACATCATGTAATCTAGACATAACTCACGGTATGCATGAATGGAAAAACATACAAATTAGCAATGGCTTTACTTTTTTTAAGATATATCTAGGTCTTTAAAAAAATCTTCCACCTAGACAAGATACTTTGTGTTATACTTTTCATAAGTACCTCTCTTGGCCGTTTGATAGCCAGAGTATGTTGCAAAGGATTATGGGTGTGCAAAGATATATTAGTAGTACTATGGTATCATTAGGTTTTTTTTTTAGCCAGACTTCATCCACAGGTTTCAATGTACCAACCTGACTACACTTGCAAGAATGTAATGCTTTGTAGGTAATTGTTACTGTGAGCAGTGGTTCAGGCATTGTCCATTTAATTTGTAAACTGGATAATAGCTGTGACAAGATTTCTTGACATTTACCTAGAGTTAGTGGCAATTGGTACCTCAACCGTCCACCATTCTATGTAAACGTGCCACAGAAAAAACTGACACACTAAGCACTTGCATAGGTTATGATGTAAGAAGCTCCCTGTATTCTTATGCTTTTCACCTGCAGCTATTTTGAAGGAACACACCCCATGCTTGATGGCATTACACTGGGATTCTTTGCATCTGCCTTACAGTGAAAGTAATTGTATATTGGTCGGGCTCCCTTATAGCTTCCAATGACATGTCCTGTTTTTCAGGCATTATTAACTGTATTTATTTTAAAATAACACTCTCTAAGCACCATAGCCACTACAACCTAATGATAGTAGTGATTATGGTGTTAGGATTGCCCTGGCACCCTCCCAGAGTAACTAGTCAAACTGTTTAAGAATGGTGGGGATCTGCCACCTCTTCTGCAGCCGGAAGCTCTGCCACTGTGCCAAGTCTCAGAATGATGGCCCTGCACTATAGAGCTTAGCTCACTGAAGCTACAGGAAGCTCCTTTCAGGAGCTTTTGGCTGCAGAGGAGGTGGATCCCAGGTAAATTGTACCATTCTAAAACTGTTTTACAGGGAAAAATCTAGGCAGGGGCCCAGTCATTTCTAGGGTGCCCAAAGCAGCTGCTCCTTGAGCCCACCGTGGTGTGTGTGGCCTGCGTGGTACTACTATCGCGGGCCACACAATGAGGGGGTGGACCACCCGATGGCAATGAGTCTGCAGGGGCCTTAAACAGCGCGACTGGGCCCCCTGGGATGAGGTCACTTCCTCCTAGCTAGAGGAAGTAATAGAGGAGGAGTGCGGACTAGGAGAGAGCCCAACTCCCAACAGCCTCACACAGCCACTGGACCCAAGGGAAGTGGAGTGACTAAAATTTTATATTTTCCGTGTATATCTGTCTGTGTATCAGTCTGTGTGTATATGGATGTATGTGTGTTTCTGTATGTGTATATGCATGTGTCTGTTTATCTGTGTATGTACCTGTCTGTATGTGTGTTTCTGTGTGTGTAGATGTCTGCATGTGTCTGTGTATCTGTATGTATCTCTCTCTATGTGTATCTGTGTCTGTCTGTATGTGTATATGCATGTGTGTATCTGTCTATATGTGTATCTGTGTGTCTGTATGCGTATCTCTGTATCTGTCTGTATGTGTACATGCATCTGTATGCATATCTGTCTATACGTGTGTCTGTATGTGTGTTAGTGTGTACCCCTCTGTTTCTGTGTGTGTCAATGTTTGCTTCTATATGAGTGTCACCCTACGTACCTGCATGTGTATCTCTGTGTCTGTATGTGCATATCTTGGCATGTGTATCTGCGTGTTAACACTTTTATAAATTAACAATCAAACAATCGATCCTGTTAGTTATTGGTTTGGTTAGCTCAGTGAAATTCTAGAGGCAGACAACAGCCCAGAGTCCTGTAAAGACTTCTCATTCAGCTGCATTGGGAAGTCTGTGATTGGACAGCTACAGAAAGTCTGTATTGGGGATGAAGGGGAGGGCTTGCAAAGGCTACAAACAAGATCTGCAATAATTAATATTTAATGAATAATTAAATTCATACATGTTTTCATTGAAGATACTAAATAGTGATTTATTTGAATAGTAGAGTTAAATAAAAACGAACATCCAAGAATATTCAGAATTTAGTTTAAGTTCTTGTCTGCATTGTTGTAGTGTTGTGCCACTGAAAGCAATGAGTTTCATGTCCTCGAGAACCTGCCAGCATTTATTTTTCTACTCTGGAATCACAGAATAGCAGAATTCCCATGTTGAGATTGCTCTCACATTGGGTGCCTTACTCAGGAGCTATTTTGGTGTTTAGCAACTATACCCTCCTTCCCAAGACTGAAATTTTTAACACTGGTTGCCTGGCAACCTCTGTTAACTCATTGAATTCTGAATTCGTTAGCTACTCAAACCTATAGCATGCTTATATTTGTAAGCAGTTATCTTAAAATCTTAAAGCAAAGAGGATGTCAGGACATTTTGTTGGAGCACCTTGTTGGAGCTTTGTGACTGATGGATACTCCTCTCCCCCCCCCAAATTAAATTTGTTATAGGCCAAGTGACACCGTAATAAAATAAAGACCACGCATTTACCTGATAGATCTGTCAAAGATTTACTTATTAACTCATATGGGTTCCTCCTAGTTATTAGGGTTTACGGTAACATGTTTTCATTACAGGGATTATTTTCTGATGGTCCTTACTCATTTTGTTTTTAACAACTTTCCTACATGCACACATACCTATGGAGATGGGGCGAACCACGAGTTTAACTCCTATTCTAACTCACTTTAAGTTAACAGAATTTTAGTTTAGGCATCATTTGTGTAGTTTTCTTTTCTTTTTCACATGTTATTTGTATTTTTTGGGATCAGTTTACTCATTGGAATTACATTTAGTTTAGGGGTTTTCATGATTCCAAAATGTGATTTATTAGCGGAGTCAGCAGCACCTAGAGGAAAAAATATTCGCTCTAACTGGAAGGAACAGGAACACAACTGTTCCATAGAAAAGCATAGAAACTGTGCAACAGTGTAACCTAGTGCAGTCGGTGAAGTCAATCCGTGCCCTCTAGCTCAGCTGAGGAATGGCCAGGGAATGCTCCTGGTCTGAATTGCCAAAGGGCAGAGTATGCTTAATCCCTACTCAACAGATTGCTCAGATCCCTACTCAACAGAGAACCCGGAGGTGTCTAAATACCCCAACACACACAAAAAAAAAAAATATACACTATTCCCTTCCTACCACAGCTCTAATAAATATCGGGTGGAACAACAAATAACAAACTTGCCCGGAATATAACTTTATACTTGCCTATCAATGTCTTGCGTATAGATGCTCAATATCAATTGAATGAGAGCATGGCTTGTGAGAGGAATGCACTGTGAATAGCCAACCAGGCTTTGCAACTCTAGACCTGCTGGGGCATATCATGCTTCTCTTGACTGAAGAACTTTTCACTATAGAACTCTCGCGCCAATGGTCTGGGTCATTCTATTTTTTTTTATTTGTTTGTGTTCTTCCTTTATCATTTATTTATTTAATTAGTGGGGTGTTTGATAGACATGATGATACCTGTGGCACGTTTGGTAGGGGTTAAGGTATGGCTTGGCCGCCATCTGTTTTTTCTTTTTAACGTTTTATTGTAGCAGCTGGCTTGTGGGAGCTGCAGTAAGCAAATAGCCAGACACACAGCATATGGTAGTATCCAGGTCTGAAGTCTGAAATCTGGTGGCCATTTGGCTTGCAGAGCACTGGGTAACCTGTGTGTTACCCAGACATGTTTGTTTCTTTATAGTATTTGCCCTTTTGATGAAGGAATGATCCTTTGCTCTCTGTAGCCAGCTAGCACGAGGGTTTACACAGAATTACTGAATCAACATGCAGTATTCGTTGCTTCATGCCCATAAATATTATGAAATGAAGTTCATAGAAGGAGAAAGTATTAAAATAAATCTGTCTTTGGTGTATGCATATTCATTCCACAGGTGCAATGTTATTTACAAAGGAAATTCTGAAGTTCTGGACATGGAGGGGCAAGGAGAAAGTCTATGGAAGAAGCAGTCTGTGAGTTACAAGCGTGTCTCCTATTTATAATCATTAAAGTGTTAAGAAATTCAAAGTCTCATTCTTTATATTAAACTATGCTCGTGCTTTTATCAATTAAAACCCCTTTATAAGCTTTGCCAGAATTTTGCTTTGTCATATTTTCACTGAGTAGTCTTCTGCTTGGTCCTTGCATGCATCCTAAGATGAACATAACCATCTTTACAACATCGATGAAGAACAGTGCTCTGCAGACACTCTCTAACATTTGGAGCAATCTCTTCTATTAACAAGATGTGATCGATCCATGTTGCGTTACCCCAGTGTATATTATTTTAGTGTTTACTGGGATGAATAATGTAATGGAGATAAAAGAAAAAAAAACAACCTTTTCACTGCCTCATTTTGACAACTTCATCCCACGATGCCTGATACATGCGCCCTCCCACATATAATGGGAAATGACTTACGCACACATGTGGCATTTTCTACAGCCATATGCACGTATGGGCCGTGTGTACAGCCATACATGGGTTATCTAATTTACATACTTTCTCGAGCCACGTCTGGCAACGCATTTACATTATAATAAAAGGAATTAGAAAGAATTTTAAAAATAGCACAACAAGCAGCTAGGTATTAGGTTGTGCTAAAATTAAGGCAGTGATGGTTCCTCTTTAAATTGTGAGCTGTGATCTGCAGGATATCATGGCTCATATTTATCAGACAAACACTTGGTTATTCTCCTGCAAAGTTCTAATTTTGGAGCAGTAACTATGGAAACAAATACTCAAATTGAAGGCCATGGTTATCATGGTAGGATAGCTTAAACTCAGACTGTGAAAGAAAGCCATGAATCATTCATTAACCCTTTTGCATATTAAGCTGACTATTCTATGATGTGCAAGCTTACATATTGTGTGCTATTCATTCCTGCCATGTAAACAGCTGCACATACAGAGAGTAACTCTTAACTGCTTAATATTTTCTGTACATCCCTAAAATGGTTGTTCTGTGTTCTTAGGCTAGAGATGGATGTTGCTTGCAGGGCTCAAAATTTCCAATGCTACTAGACAGGCGTAAACGTTGCCCTTCACCGCAAGTATGAAGTGTCTATAGCATACTCATCAGAGATAAATCTCTACTTGCAAGGCAGAAATTAGTGGCCAAGTGTGAATGTTAGGAATGCTACTTGCAAATTTCTATTATCTACAAGAAGAGACTGGTCTGTTAAAGTACTCATAGATGTACATAGAAACTTATTTCAGAAGCACTTGGATTCCACTTGGGTAAAATAATAATTGGATCACTTAGCACAGTGATGGCAAAGATCTTTGAGCCTGAATTCCAAATGTTCTGCAGAAAAGAAAACCTTCTGAAAATGCCCCAATCTCACCTTACATTTTGTCCACAAAAAGTTAGTTTTCCCTCAATTTGAGAACAGTTGAATAAAGATGTCAAAAGATAACGACTAGCTCTATATAGCAGAGTCTTTGACTTTACATTGAAACAATACTGATTAGTTTTCATCTATAAAACATGTCCATTTTCCTCTCCATTACTGGACTGATATTGATTAACCAAATATTGTAACCATAACAAGTATAATGTTTTGTGTGTGTTTCCCATGAAACAAAGCGACTATGTAATGTGCGATGTTATGTGTACTGTCGTAGATCCGTGATATCATGTCCACTTGCTCACACAATGCAGACAAGGAGAGAGTTCTGGGACTTTTGCTGCTAGAGGTAACAAAGGAACAAGATCAGATTCGGCAGGATACAAGGTAAACTTTTTCATTGCTCGGAGAAAACAATATAAACTCTATTTGATGACACAGGCATGAAGTATATAGATTTGGTTATCAAATAGAAGAAGTATTTTCTTTTCTTTTTTATCTGATGGACTAGGCAATTTGACATTTCTTTTTGTTTTTTAAAAAATGCTTTGAGGTCTTGAGTTATGATCTTGGTACAATTTCAATCAATTTTGTATGTACATTGACTTTCAAAAGCATTCAACCACCTTGGATGTTTCCAACCTGGGAGAAAATTTTATTTTATTAGTCTCTTAACCATTTTATTTGTTTGCTGCATTCACTTTGCTTTTTGTTTTTTCTTTTTCCAAATACCGTATATGTGAAAGGTACAGAATAGTTTGTTGAAAAAGTTAACAAAACAAAATATATATATGGTTGTATACGTATTAGAGTATGCTGAGTTATAAATGGCAACTTATCTCCACATCACTGGTGGCTTCACTTAAAGAAAACGTAATTTGAAAGTACAGCACCAAGACAGGAAAATGATGTAAGAATTATAGATAAATATCGCTGATTATTCAGTTGTGCTGGAACTCTCCCATCTTCTTATACACAAAAGAAATGTTCCAGACCATTAAGATATTTTTATTTGTAAATATTAGTTTTAGTTTTTCTAAGGAAGTTGTCAGCATTTAACACAACGGTATGCACAGGTCCCTAGTTTTCATAAATATCTTTGGTCTCTCAGGTTTGTTTCTGAACAGTATGGGACTCGTAGGTCCCTGCGTAATGGTAAGTATACAGTAAGGTCATTCACCTTAAAGGAATAATAAAGTAATAAAGTAATAATAAAAAAGGAATATTTTCATCTACATGTATCTAAATATACCTTGCAATAAAGAAGACAAAAATGGTACAAGCTTCTTGTGATTTAAAATTTGAAATGGCATCATTATTTGCGAATCTAGCTCCCATATTTATATAAATTTGCATTTAGCCATTGACCTCATTGTACAAGCTCTACAGAAGCAAGGTCATAAAATAGAATCTAGCCATAGTATTATATCACAGAGTATGAAAAAAGGTCACAGGATTATTTGGCAAACTGAAATGATGAAATATATATTTTAACTAAGATGTAAAATTATTGTACGGCTCAACCTCTCTATGTATGTTACTGTTTCTCTTTTAATTATGTCCATTTCAGCTCTGCTGTACTTTAAAATAAGGTAACGGCATATCTGTGTTTTATCTCCAGTATCAATAGAATGGAACATTGTCTGCAAAAGATGCAGCAGATATTCAAGCAGTTCAATAAAAGGAGGCAGCAGCCACGTAAGTACTGCATGTTGTTAATAAAATCTAGAAACCGTAGATGGCAAATTTTCCCACTATCTATTATGCACCAGTGGACAGCTTGATGAAATGAAATCAGCAGTTATCTGGTGAAATTACAGGTTACAGATCCCTAAAGACCAGTGATCTGCTTTAGCAACTGATTATCTGGCATTTTTGGGACGAACAATCCAAAATGATGGATGGTCTTTCAGGATTTTTCAAGATCTACTGCCCTCTTAGACTGATCTATGATCTGACAAAGCTGATTGAAATTCACTTTGAATTCCTGACACAAGGTACTTTATTGAATAACAACAACAAAATCGTGCACTGCACTCGCAATTCAATGCAGCCTACACATAACACTTTTAGTGCCAGATGGGCTTCATACAGTTTTTTTACTCATTAACTTGTAATGGTTTGATAATGTTGCAAATTTAAGGTCAGAAGCCAACCCACTGGTAAATACGTAAACCCCTTTAGGTTGTCAGTCTGATGAAGCTAATCAAATGATGTGGTGCTGCCAACTTGGCATGTGTGGTGTGGGCTGTGATTGGGAAATTGCTTGTCGGTTATTGGGTGTCAAAGAATGAGTGGCGCTTAAAGAGAAGATTTGAAGTTACGCCAATTTCAAAGATGCAGCCTTTCACTCTGGAGGGTTGCCAGCTTATTTTTCCATTTACACGTACCATATAATGAAGATCTCTAACAGGATAATGTTAACGAGTTCTAGATTCACTGTAGATAAACAAACAACAGTCATAAGTAAACCTTTGGCTGGGACAGTCACAGGTGCCTTTAATGTAACTGCAGATGATATATGTGATGATATAATATGCTTAACTGTAACCTGGCCAATCATTTATTCACTAAACGGCATACATGTTTATGTGAATAGAAGGCTTTTTAAAAAAAAAAAAAATTTTAATTTCATTCTATGCAACACCTTTTTTTCTATAGAGTATGTTATCCCCACATGCAAAATTGGGGGTAGGGGAGGGCTGAGTTTCATGGCGGCAGTACCCGTTTTGCTGGAGCTACCACTCCTTAGGTTCTATACTATAAGTTATTCTACAACTCTCAATCGGTGCTGAGACACCACTACCTAGTGTCTGTACCGGATGGGTGCTTTAGATCGGTACTTTGAAGCTCCTGCCTTCAGATATCCCTGGGGAATCTGAGAGGTCCGGTGAATCGCTGTAACGGTAGAGGCGGATGCTCTCCTTAGTCCACTTGGTATCAATCTTTAAAGAACTCCTCTACAGTCCAATTACCCCCCCTAATCCCCCCTGCAGGCTGAGGAGGTTTCCTGGCCCCCATTGGACTGTTCCATACATGGTCTCTTACCACTCAGTGTTTCATTCCGTCAGCTCCAACATAACTCTGCACAAATAAGATGCTTTTGCTCCCCAGGGGAAGGCCTGACGCTGCAACAGACGACTCAACCCTGAAGCTATTTTCAGGAGGTTTTGGGTGACCTTGGAGGAGCTTTTAACGGCAGCACCAGAATTTAAGACTGGGGATCGGAGGAGGGCTCAGAGTAGAGAGCTCCCGTTAGGTACCACATCTAAGCCAATGCCTGTCCAGCCAGCCGCTTGTGCACCCACCTGAAGGCCTCTGGAAGTTTGGCCCTTCAGCATTGCCCACATCAGCAGAGGTCCGTTCACATCTCTCCATTGCGGGAGGAGGATTTGGACTTTGTAAGAACCCGAGTTTGTGGCATTGAGATGAAGCCCTTTCTCACTCCTGTACTACAGGGAGTGCAGAATTATTAGGCAAATGAGTATTTTGACCACATCATCCTCTTTATGCATGTTGTCTTACTCCAAGCTGTATAGGCTCGAAAGCCTACTACCAATTAAGCATATAAGGTGATGTGCATCTCTGTAATGAGAAGGGGTGTGGTCTAATGACATCAACACCCTATATCAGGTGTGCATAATTATTAGGCAACTTCCTTTCCTTTGGCAAAATGGGTCAAAAGAAGGACTTGACAGGCTCAGAAAAGTCAAAAATAGTGAGATATCTTGCAGAGGGATGCAGCACTCTTAAAATTGCAAAGCTTCTGAAGCGTGATCATCGAACAATCAAGCGTTTCATTCAAAATAGTCAACAGGGTCGCAAGAAGCGTGTGGAAAAACCAAGGCGCAAAATAACTGCCCATGAACTGAGAAAAGTCAAGCGTGCAGCTGCCACGATGCCACTTGCCACCAGTTTGGCCATATTTCAGAGCTGCAACATCACTGGAGTGCCCAAAAGCACAAGGTGTGCAATACTCAGAGACATGGCCAAGGTAAGAAAGGCTGAAAGACGACCACCACTGAACAAGACACACAAGCTGAAACGTCAAGACTGGGCCAAGAAATATCTCAAGACTGATTTTTCTAAGGTTTTATGGACTGATGAAATGAGAGTGAGTCTTGATGGGCCAGATGGATGGGCCCGTGGCTGGATTGGTAAAGGGCAGAGAGCTCCAGTCCGACTCAGACGCCAGCAAGGTGGAGGTGGAGTACTGGTTTGGGCTGGTATCATCAAAGATGAGCTTGTGGGGCCTTTTCGGGTTGAGGATGGAGTCAAGCTCAACTCCCAGTCCTACTGCCAGTTCCTGGAAGACACCTTCTTCAAGCAGTGGTACAGGAAGAAGTCTGCATCCTTCAAGAAAATCATGATTTTCATGCAGGACAATGCTCCATCACACGCGTCCAAGTACTCCACAGCGTGGCTGGCAAGAAAGGGTATAAAAGAAGAAAATCTAATGACATGGCCTCCTTGTTCACCTGATCTGAACCCCATTGAGAACCTGTGGTCCATCATCAAATGTGAGATTTACAAGGAGGGAAAACAGTACACCTCTCTGAACAGTGTCTGGGAGGCTGTGGTTGCTGCTGCACGCAATGTTGATGGTGAACAGATCAAAACACTGACAGAATCCATGGATGGCAGGCTTTTGAGTGTCCTTGCAAAGAAAGGTGGCTATATTGGTCACTGATTTGTTTTTGTTTTGTTTTTGAATGTCAGAAATGTATATTTGTGAATGTTGAGATGTTATATTGGTTTCACTGGTAATAATAAATAATTGAAATGGGTATATATTTGTTTTTTGTTAAGTTGCCTAATAATTATGCACAGTAATAGTCACCTGCACACACAGATATCCCCCTAACATAGCTATAACTAAAAACAAACTAAAAACTACTTCCAAAAATATTCAGCTTTGATATTAATGAGTTTTTGGGTTCATTGAGAACATGGTTGTTGTTCAATAATAAAATTAATCCTCAAAAATACAACTTGCCTAATAATTCTGCACTCCCTGTACAGACGATACCTGTTGCCCACCTGCGAATCCCAGTGGTCTGCCCACTTCTGGAATTTGGGTGAAAGAGGACTTGTGTTCGATGAAGGCCATTCACTCGTATATCTTCTATAGCATAATCATAATGAATGCCATCTGGTCCTACTGTTTTTGACCTGATGTCTTTTCTGTTTATTTTCACTGGCATGAGGCTAGAATCATTTTACAGTTTATAGAAGAATCCGTCCCAATGGTGTATTCTTCATAGTGTATGTACTTAGTCCATGTAGTGGTACCTTAGCTATATCACCTCTACGTATCTGCTAAGCAATTGATCCTCTTTCTGTTCTCCCTGTTACACACTGCATTTCCCCCACATGCCTCTCCAACTCTTGCTCACTACATTACCTCTTGTGAAATTGTAGACATGTATATTCTAGCCTGTATACTCTTATCACTCTTTACATACTTTACAAGTATACTTTACTACAAAAATTAGACATTTTTTTTCTTCAAACTTAACCTGACCTGTTGCAATGCTTGTTCTTGTGCAATTATTCTGATTACTGATATTCCTATATTACATGTATTACTTAAAAGCCTAAAAAAAAAAACAAATTGACAAATTTATATTATTTTTATTTTTTTATTTTTTTAGAACTTACATATAATGAGGAACAAATTCACAAACTGGATAAGTAAGTTATACTCTAGATCTGTTTTGTTACCTTTCTTGTTTGGTTTTTTTTTTTTACCATTATAAATGCCCTTTTCTGTATATTCACAGATTAAATCTAGGGACCTTGGCCAAAAAAGTTCTCTTAATTTTCCAAGAGGAGGTTGTGTTGATATATCAGACAGCTCTGTCACAACATGCCATCAGGATAAGGTAAGGTGGAACATTCTCATGAGCCATTTTTTTGTGTGGCAGGCTCTGCGGCCCATATTCACAGTGACCTTTGAGCAGCTGCTCTACATTTACCTGATACTAAGACTGGCAGTGATTGTTGGTATGTGGGCAGTAGGCATACCACTTGACTCTGTGGTAAGCATTGATTACTTCTAATTTAGGGAGTGGCTTGCTGATTATTTTATAAGGTTCAAGGGTGCAGGATATGACACCAATTGAGTAGGTAGAACAATAAAAGTTTCTTTATTAAGGGCAAAACAGTCTAATCTTTCTAATTACAAGAGTTTTAAAAATAAAGTAATACATCACCAATTTATTATAAAACTACATCCAGGCCCAACATGGCTAGGGAAGGTTACTGTGCAGTGCATCCACTCGCAGGTGAGGCTTCTGGCAAAACGTATAAGAAGGGGCTTACATAATTCATTAATATATGCAAGTGTCATGCGCATTTTATTAGTGCAAACGTGCAATTTCTCATATATGTAAGATATCAGCACATCCCTGAAGCATTGGCCAGCCTCCCAAGGATGTCTCACACTACAAGGAATCTGCAAACCATAAATATTGTAGGGATCTTTAGAATTATGGGCAATATGTCCAAAAGATTCCAGAACTTTGATAAGGAGTCAGTTTATTTCAGTCAGTATCAAACTTCCAAAAGTCTCTGCTCTAGACAAACTTTGGGAAAAGGGCTTTGTGAATATCCTGCGGGATCCAATCATTAAGTACAGTGATTGTATTTACATAAAGTTTTTTTCTTTAATATGAAAATACACAGTTTAAGTGTAACATTCAATATTTAAAGGGGTGTATGTGTGTGTAATATGAGAAAGTAATAACTTCCCGGGATTTCAGTTGTTGTGGTGTATGAATGCCAGCAGAACTCGTCGATTCAGAATATTCCTGAAACACTCTCTCACTGTTGGGTTGTGCACACACACATATATAAAACCACATACACACCTACTTGTTAGGCCACCCTTCCTGGCTCCAATTTAAATTTTGCCCTTTTACCCTTACTCATATGCAGGACATGTGTTGGGTAGAGTGAGACACTTGTCTCTTTCTCCCTAGCCATTCCAATGTTATTTAAGTGAGGGCACAGGGGAGAATTAATGATGTCAATTGCAAACCTCCTCTGCCACACAGAAAAGTGAGTTGTATCAACTTCAGTTAACCCTGGACATCTATGACCTGTCCTTATATTAAGCCCTTATCTTTGGCACCTTGTCCACTACGTTACCAGGCATATACCAGAGTCTCACCAACTCACTCAACCTGTCCTTTCCACCTACCCTTTCCTGTGTGTTCCTCCCCTTTGCTCTAACCACCATTTTACTCATTACTCTTTGCAGTACTCACTATTTTACTTCTGTTAAAGTGCTCTTTACCACCCTTTGGTGATGTTTCTAAGATTTCACATTGTTTGTAAATCTAGGAAAATCTAGAAAAATGTAAATATATATAAAATAAATCACCATCAGGTTTGCTCTGCACATAATTTATAATAACAGGCAGATAACTTAAAAATAAATACAAGAAATAATGAAATGTATATAAATAAATATATGAAACCAAGAGGGCTGCACTCACCTGAACATGCATACATTAGTGGGTGCCGCTTAAATAAAACTCTTACATTCTGTGGACCTTGAAATTGCACTATTGCACGATTTCATATACTTAAATACCCTCTATGGACAAAAGTTTTGGGACCCACCTCTTAATTATTGAATTTAGGTCGTTTCAGTCAGATCCATTGCCACAGGTGTATAAAACCAAGCATCTTGTCATGCAGTCTGCATTTACAAACATTTGTGAATAAAGGTAGTTCTGAAGAGATCTGTTGTGTGGATTTATTTGAGGGCTGCATATCGGCCAAGTGTAAATCTGAGAGAGCTTCCTATTTTTAGTCAGACATTTCTAAATATAGAATGGTGTCATACAGTACATGTCATGGTTGACAGTTATATAGATTTTGGAGATTAATGCATGCACATAATAAATATTGATCGTAATATTCTCCAAGCTATGTTTTGTTCATTGTCCGATTTATATGTTCTATTCCCCACCAATATTATTATGTAAAAGTGATGTCAAAAACCTATGCAGTAACTTATGGGATGTGAGTATCGAAGCATTATTATTATGCCACCATTTATATTTTGTGCTTCCCTAGAACGATTTTTGAGATTCAGAACCACTTCAGCCTAGTGAATGGATACACGGCAGACGGAATCAGAGATTTGCAGTGCTATGAGGAAACTGTCAGCAATGTATGTGTAGTGCATCTTCAAATAAAACATTTTATGTGTCATTGCTGGATTGTACATATGCTGTAAATTGCTTGGACCCTTGATATCTGTGGTCATGTAGTAGGCTGGGAGTTGGTGACTGTGGTTGTTAACCAATGTGTGTGTCTCCCAATCTTTCTTGCAGACGTTGGAGAAATTATCTCAACATTTTCAGCAAGTAGGTCTGGTGCACTCAAACCATAGTCCCGTGAATTCATGCACCCATGAAGTCAAAGATGATCTAGTGCTTAGGTGAGTTAGTTTTAGAACACACTAATGCTCTTGATTAACCTTTTCTTAACTATGTAACGAGTCATCTAGTATCTTTGGACAGGCAAAAGAAAGAGTAAGTAATGCCTTTTTGACAAAGTTGAAGGACTTATAGGCAATGTTAATGTAATTAAAAACCAAAAAGTATTTGATGGGTAGGGACTGTGGGCAGGACCCTCTGATATGCAAATGGTATGTTTTCTCTGTAATGGCACAAATCAGCAAATAATCTCTGAGCTTGTACCTGTTCTCAGGGCTCTCATATTCTCTGTTTTTATTAGAAAATCTGTTAGTTCTGAAAGTCATTTCAAGAATGATTAACACCTTAAGGACGGCGGGCGTGTCATGCCATCCTTTTTTAGGCGGTCCTTAACGCCGGCGTTCTTTCTACTTTCCCGGGCTCCGGCGTTCCTCCGACGGCGGTCGCGATCCTCTGCCCAACCCGGCCTCCCTACCCCTCCCCCCACCCGCCATGTAATCACATTGCCGGAATAGCCTGCTTATGCAGTACCTGCAGGCTGTCCCCCTTATGCCTGTAAAAAAAAAGTTTGTAAAAGTTATAAAACCGTTTTTGAATTAAATAAAAAGTACTTAGATTGTGTGTATGTATAATATATATATATATATATATATATATATGATCTTAGCACTTTTATATACACAATCCATTATTCTAAGTGTATTTTAATGCTAACTTTGGCCAGTGTTTGTGACTAAGTGGCTGCTAGAAAAGACTGGATATACTCCATTTGCAATACCTTGGGTTGTCTACTTTTGCAAATGGTATGCCATCATGGGGGTAATTTTTATTCCAATCTGGCAAATGTCATTGTGTACTAACTAAAAAAATGTAATGTGCTCTATTTGACCCTGTAACTTTCCAAAACACCATAAAACCTTTACATTGGGGGTATTGTTTTACCCGTGAGACATCGCTGAATACAAATGTGCCGACATTATTGCAGTAACGGCTACCAGTATTGTGACATTCACAGTTAAAATGCCATGCAGAACTAAAAAAATAAAATTTCCTAATATATAATTTTTTTTTTACATTTTATTCATATTAAATTATGTTTACTATACAAATATTTGATGTGACATGAAAGCCCTGTTTCTCCTGAATAAAATGATATATGATAAGTGTGGGTGCACATAATATGAAAGAGGTGAATTACGCCTGAACAGACATATAGCGCACATTTTTTTTTTTTTTTAATTCTTTATTTTTGCTGTGCAGGTAGGTACAAGGAATCAACAGACGCCACAACAGCGTATTGGAAAATATACATTGGTATAACAGTGGCATGAGAGTTTGCACATTTTTAAAATTTTTAACAAGTTTGGTTAAACAGTTGCGTCGTCTTTTGTAATGAGAAAAATAACAGACTGGGGACACTTCAAAGATTTTAAACATGCTATTTACAGGCTAGCTTTGTATGACTGCTGCGGTGGGTCACGATGGGGTTTCAAGCTTGAGACAGTAAACATACAGTGGTTCTAGAGATTGGAGTAGTCAAGTGCTTAGAGAGTGGATTCTGGTTGAATTCGTAGTCATATTGTATAAGCACGGTTGCAGTTAGCAGTAACTTGATGTAAAACTACATTAAAAAGTTAAACTGTGTGTATTTAAGCTTAGACACCACATGCAGCAGTTAACATTGCTAGAGTTAGCCTTCATTGTGTAGCCCTGTTTCTATTCACTCTGAGCATAAAGGTGCCCTGCATAAAAACAATGGTAACATTCAAAAGCATTTAGTGGAATCTGCACATTTTTAAAGGTAGATACTGACATGCATTAGAACACAGGTGCAAAGGATAAACAGCGGCTAAATGATCTATGGTTAACAAGCTAATTGCCTGTGGTTATTATATTGTTGCTTGCTCCACTGCTGCTATATGTATCTTACAGTCTCTGCTGTGAGATGTTAGGGCCAGTTCTGAGCTCAGTGCGAGACATACTGTGCGGTGGGATCGTGCAGAGTCTCTGCTGCAGGGGCACAGACTGTCTCTAGGTCATGCCGTCTTGGTCAGCCGACGCCGGCTCTGAGGGATTGGCATGTGGGTCCAGGGCGCTGCGAGGTCCCTTCCCCCGTTGGTTGTTGCCGCTGTGTGTGGATATCCCAGAAGTGGGTCAGTATCACCTCTAAGCTTTGCAGTGGGTCTCTCCAGCGCGGTTGTGTCGGTCGCATGGTCATCCTGCATATCCCGCTGCCGGCCGCTATTTTAGGTGCGCCTTGTAGGAGGTTGTAGCCTTGCTTGTCAGGGTCAGGCTTGTACTGCTGTCTCTGCTGGTGATTGTGGATGTCGAGTGCGGGCCGGGATGACCCCCGCCGGCCCAGGGGGGGGGGGAGGAAGGCTGGTGCACTGAGGGGTGTGTGTGCGGTTTTTCCATCCAGAAGAGCGGCCGTCTCTCCCTGGCTCGGTCGCATGTAGGCCCCATGTGCTTTGCGTGGGATCCCGGGCAGTGTGAGTCTCGTTTGTGGGTTCCTTCGATGCCCCCGGGTTTCCCCAGCTCATCCCATGCCCTCTGACTTGTGGGTGATTTTGTGTTTGGGGTATTTTTCCCCATTGTTGTCGTTTTTTGCAGGAGCTGGTTTGCAGCACGTCTGTCCTGCTCAGCAGTCAGGCTCCGCCCCTCTATAGCGCAAATTTAAGGTTTTGTTTACGTTTTGTTTTGATCACAACTTGTACAATTGGCTCAGTCCTTAAGTGGTTAATAAACAGACTGAATTTATGCAGTGGGGTATTTAAGCATAGTCCAGCTAGCCATGAGCCAAGAGCAGCATACTAGAGTGGGGTGGCAGGATGCTTGGCATTGTTCTAACTCTGACACTGTAGCAGGAACTGGCCAAGCTTGACCAGTGGAGGTGTGCTGCCTGCATTTGTTTTTACAACATACAGTATGTTATTTTACATTAAATACACATTGGTCAGTGTACAATTCTGCATAGTGCACACCTAAAACAAAAACCATTACATTAAGCTGTAGTTGTTCTGATGATATAGTGTCGCTGTAATCAAGTATCTCTTAATATTCAGCCACCGGCTTGGTTAATTACTTGTTGAAAATCCCAAATAAGTTTCCGATTTTAGGCAATAAATATATATATATTTTTATATGTGCCTACAAAATTCAAGATCACTTTGATTTTCAGCCGTTTGTGAATAACTTTGTATGATACTGTATTCAAAATTATTCTACAAAATTACTTCTAGTATCGATTTGGGCAGAATTCATATCTGCTAGGGATAAACACATACTTGGTTTGATCATCCATGTTCCGGCAGGGACTTAAACTGTGATGTGACGTAAGAAAATCTCCAGTTAGGAGGCTCATCTATGGCATAGGAATGCTCCTGACCATGAGATTTTGAAAACCCGCTCATCCACAATGAGATTCCGAATTCAGAGTAAAATCCCTGAGTCTCAGGTCAAACCTTGCGATATCCCATGTATGCATTCTCCAGACTTTAATTTGTTTAAAGGGACACTATAGTCACCAGAACAACTACAGCTTATTGAATTTGTTCTGGTGTGTACAATCATTACCTTCAGGTTTTTTGCTGTAAACACTGTATTTTCAGAGAAAATGCAATGTTTACATTACAGCCTAGTGATTACTTCACTGGCCACTTCTCAGATGGCTGTTACAGATCCTTCCTGGGACATGGCTGCCTAAAATGCATCCAAACATTCAGTATCTCCTCCCTCTGCATGCAGACACTGAATATTCCTCATAGAGATTCATTGATTCAATTCATCTCTATGAGGAGATGCTGATTGGCCAGGGCTGTGTTTGAATTGTGCTGGCTCTGCCCCTGATCTGCCTCCTTGTCTGTCTCAGCCAATCCTATGGGGAAGCATTGTGATTGGATCAGGCTACCACTTCTGATGATGTCAGCAGACAGCTTGTTTTTTTAGGCAAACAGCATGCAGATCTACAGTTTCTGGCTTGAATACAGTAAGATTTTGCTATATTTATGGAGGCATGAGGGGCCAAGGGGGCTAGATGGTGTTTTTTTTTTATAGGGTCAGGAATACATGGTTTTTGTTCCTGACCCTATCGTGATCCTTTAATAATGGCATTTCAAAAGGTTCAATTCAAATAAAATCATGAGACTAATTAGTTAATTTTAAAATGAGGAATTGTATTTATAAGTTTCTACCTGGGAGTTCTTGATTATTGTTCTAACCTTTAAAGGGTGAAACACTTAAATGTGTAATTAGAGGAGAAATAATTCAAGTAGGACATTGTGTATTGAACCGACAACCTCAGGAAGCAAAGTCAGCACATTAAACTCCTACACAATTATATACATAAACACTGCAGTAGAAAGCTGATTATACATAATAGAGCGAGAATCTTCAAGGAGTACAAAACCTAAAAACGGAAGTGTTCACGCTAGGTAGGAACACGTTTAATCACAATTGCAGCATTTTTATCACATTCAACACAGCTACTTATTGTTGAAGAATTTTGCTACCATAGCTATTTTGCTCTGCAATGTGCAATTCCCTGGTCACATTCTGTCAATGCCCGGTTTAGTGGATATCTCTCTTTGTAAGTCGCTGTAAACCTCATGAATCTTTTACCTGTACTCATAACATTATTCACCTTAGCTGATACAGATATAATATCTCCTACACAAGCAAATATATGCTTTAATGTTCTCACATCTCTAGACTAGGATCTGGCAAAGCTTTGGATTACGTATTAAATATGTACCTCTTCTCAGAATCTAGATTTCTGGATGTAAACAAAGGTAGAAAAACAAATATATGTGAACTTAATTTACATATCTGTGTTTAAGAAGACATATGTCAAACTTATTCTATGTGTGGGGGCCCACAAGACCATTTCGTTATGTCATTTTTCTATATTTCCTTATCAACTCTGGTCTCTTTTCAATTGCAGCCAACAGCACTCTTCCATTTTATATACAAATTATTTTATAGTACCACTGATGTAACAATGCTGTAGTGCTCAGAAAATGTCTGTCTTCCAGTGCAATTGTCTCAGAGCTCAGCACTTATTTACTCATTCAAGGCTGTGTATGTCATTTACATGAGATTACATTCTTATTAATGCATAATTAGCTAATTTGCATGTGTTTACATACTCATTTGACCTACAGTGTTCCTATTTGTGTGGCATTATTGTAATGTGTAGGTGACATGCCGTTCACCAATCATGCTTAGTGCATACAGATACGCTGTCATGGTTGACACTCTCGCCCATTTTACCACATCACATCTGATTGCATCTTGTTCATTGGGCATTTACGTAGTGAGCATATTAACCCATTAATAACAAAATGTGTACTTTTTACAAAGCATTAGTATCTCTCACTGGCTTGTTTGTATATCACAGGATGTTGCAGCTCAGGGATCAAATGAAAACTGTGACTTATGAAATGGAGCATAACAACAGCATTATTGAGAGGTAAGTAGTGTCTTTTTTTTTTGTGGTAAACTGAGCTCTTTAGCCGTACTTTCACCATATGTTTTGGATCGGTGTGCCTGATCTTATTATTGGTACAAACGTGCCTCGTTCTTCACAATTTACGTTAACTACTAGATCCAGCTGTACATGTTCCTTGCAGAACATTTGAACCATCTCTGAATGTTTCAAAACATGACCGTCTCAGTCAATCCATGGTCTACAGACAGACTATGAGCCATGCTCTATAGAACATATATACAATCTCCTGATGTTAAGAGAACCCCTTGGATTATGCTTATATTTCACCACGTGTGCAAGAACTACGCAAAAAGAACAGTAGGCATCTGTACACATTAAAATTATGCAAATCCAATAGTTTCCTTACACACTGTTTATGAATTGCAGAGGCATCCATACACACTTATATTTCTCTGTTAATCTAATTTATGAACCAAATACATGTATTTTTATTTTTTTTGTAACAGATTGGGTGTTCCCTCCTCGTCTCAAGGCACCTGAACTTTGGACAGTATTCTAAACAGTTTTAGAAACATTGGGAAGGTGTAGCAGTTTGAGAAACTTTTGTGACTTTTTTTTTAAATCAGAAATAATACAGTAATAAGTATGAATTGTCCTGATATCTGATTGTTTTCCCTCCATCTATTGTCAAAAGACAAAGTCTCTTTTCTTAATAAAAACAAAAAACCTTTCCAAGGATTTAAAAGAAAAAATGAAAGCAGTAAATGAAAACGAGTAAATGATTAAAAGCAAACATTATTTCCAAGGAGATTACTTTAAAAAGCACAGTTGATTCAGTCTAAGTGTAAACCGAAACTGACAGTATTATGTCAGACAGTTCTCCAGACTTGCCTATGTTGGTTTCTTAATAGCAAGCAAGGTCTGGCAAAAAATAATACAATTCTTAATATAAGAAAAATAAAAATCTAAATTGTTTTATTTTTCTTCAATTGCTTGTAAAGTGATTGGATAAGTAAGCCTGATTAATGATAACAATATATGCATCAACTAACATAGTGCATAGAAATAGGTCTTGATTTGTTTGTGCACCATATAAATCCATAGAAATAGATTGGACATCTTCGCTATCAGGTAGGAAGATAAATAGGTAGGTAGATAGATATGTAACTGTTATAATAAAAATTGCCTTTTACAAAGCCAGATGTGATTTCTGAATCTTATGTGAATCAGGGTAGGTTTAAGATGTATTAGAGTATTTGTCTTTTACAAATCAATATAAAAGAACATTTGTTCTAAAATAAATCACAAAATGAAAACTTTTATACAATAAAGATCTGCTAAAAAGGCAAAATGGGAAAGGAGAGGCAACATATGGATAGAAAACTGTACAATTAATTATTATTTATCTGTCAACACTGTGATCAAATATCTGTATAAAAATAATTGTGCAAAGTAAACCATTAATAATCAACAAAATACAAAATGCATGAAAAGACCGCAATAAACAAACAAACAATTTCAAATCTGTAAGCATTCACAAGTGTGTAAATGTTAACCTAAAATGGTAGAAACAGGGTACAGTTATTTAGTAATGTGTCTGATGCTAGTTGTTTCAAGTCTTTGTCTTACTAGTTGGTGTGGATATCTCTATGGTAAAATGATGCTGTTTGGGTAGAGATTTTCCAGTAATTTTGTGCTTCTTCTCCTACATCAATGCATAAACATTACCATCTTCAGCTTCCTCTGATGGTAAAGAGATGAGGAGAACACGTGGAGACGGAGTGCAAAATGCTTTTAAAATTGTATACATACAATGCTAACAGACTTGTCAAGAAAGAGTTGCTCTTTCACACAGATCAGGTAGAAACAACCATTAAATTCTCCATGTGCATTGAACACCACTCATGTGCAACATTTTGAAGGGCCAATGAGGGATTCTTTCATTACAGGGATATGGCCAGAAGTGTAGCCATATATAATTGTATTTATTTTTTATTCTCCTACCAAACATTACTGTATATTTTCTTATTTTATACACTCATACACACCAATCACATGAAGTTCCTATCAACAGGAACCATTAGGATAGTAAGTTGCGACCCACAATAAGGGCTGTCCTTATACAAGAACATTTGGGAGGTATGCGTGTGACTATTACATGGACAGGTAAACTTGCAGTTGTAACCATAGCAGATTAGCGTGTTTAGGACTAGATGCTTTGTTTGTTTTCTTTCAATAATGTGTGTTTTGTACGTATTATATTGTGTTGATTATTTTCAATATATATAATGTATTAATTTCTGCTTTTTTAGGGGATAGGAGTGGGCAGAAATGTAAACAGTTTGCCTCTCTCGTGTTTAACTATAATTCATGAAATAAAGGTACTGGAAGCAGCCATATTTGTTTAGCACACCACAGCTAGCTACTACAAGATGGCAATACATGTCTTCGTTGGTACACAAGAGAGAGTTGTATAGCACTGATAATTAATGACAATTGTAAAAAGATTTGCAGATGGTTTCTCACTCTTAGTGGCCAAAATTAGTTATTATAATTAGGCAATATCTTAGAGTACTAGTGCCAGGAGTCTAGGTCATTATCTCTTTGATGCTTGACAGTTTAGTGCTGTGAGGACTAATCTTGCTACCTCAAGTGTATGTGAATTACATGGCTAAGTATTATGGGAAATATAGTTCACATATACTACCCATTACTAGTGATACTCCTGGGTTAAATAACACCCAACACACATGCACAAAAGCAAGTACAAACACAATTCATTGTTTAACTGGCTTCAGTATGATTGTGCTGTTTCTGTTTGATGAACAATTTAATATTAAAGTATTTTTTAATAAAGTAATGCTGTATTTGTTTTTTTTAACTGGGCCTTCTGTTGCCATGTTGTTGTAGGGGTTTGGAGTGGGAATCTGTCTTAAGTAATAATTATAGGTATTTCCTTGGACCTGAATGTCCTATATGGCATTGCCCCATCTACACTTCCTGGACACCTTTACATTTTTAAGAACTTGGAGACGAAAAGGGTTGCAAGTCAAGTGCCTCCACCTAATAAGGGATTATATAGTGCACAACACAAGATTCATTAGGAATTTAAATAAAATATGATCTGCATTCAATATAATCTACAATTAATAAAGCATTTACAGAGATTTTAATATATATATATATATATATATATATATATATATATATAATGAAAGTTCTGTGGTGAACTGAAACGTTGATTCTTACTGGCATCTGCTGAATAAAAGCTATGTTTTATTTTCACCCTATTTCAAGTCCCTCGAGTGCTATCTTTATATTGACTGTTATAAATGTGTGTGTGTGTGTGTATATATATATATATATATATATTCTACTATCCTGTACTCACATTTGTCATATAAGTGCCATGGTGCTCTTTCAGCCAAATCAACATAAATCTCCACGAAGAAAGGCACACACTGGGCTTTTTGAAGAAAATTATTTGTCTTTATTAATAACAAACGGGTTACAGCAAATCAAGTTGATTTGCTGTAACCCGTGTGTTATTAATAAAGACAAATTATTTTCTTCAAAAAGCCCAGCGTGTGCCTTTCTTCGTGGATATATGGAGATTTTATATATATATATATATATATATATATATATATATATAATTTTTTTTTTTCACACTGATTAACCACAAAATTAAAACCACCTTCCTAATATCAGGTAGGTCCCAATCGTGCTTACAAAACAGCTCTGATACGATGAGGCATGGACTCCAGAAGACCTCTGAACTTGTCTTGTGGTATGTGGCGCCAAGACATTAGAAGCAGATGCTTTAAGTTCTGCAAGTTGCGAGGTGGGGCCTCCAGTACATCCCACAGATGCTCAATCAGATTGAGATTCTGGGATTTTAGAGGCCAAGGTAATACTTTGAATGCTTTTTCATGTTCCTCAAGCAATTGCTGAACAGTTTTTGCAGTGCTGCAAGGTGCTTTGAATGAGGTCACTGCCATCAGGGAACACGATTGCCATGAAGGGGTGTACATAGTCTGCAGGAATCTCTAGGTAAGTGGTACATGCCAACATAACATTCAAATGATTGCAAGGACCCAAGATTTCTCAGCAGAACATTGCCCAGAGCATAACACTGCCTGCGGCAGACTGCCTTCTTCCAATAGTGTATCCTGCTGCCATCTCCTACCCAGCTAAGCAACACACGCGCACCCGGCCTTCCACCTAATCTAAAAGAAAATGTGGTTCATCAGACCAGGCAACCTTCTTCCATTGCTCCATTGTTTAGTTCTGATACTCTTATCCCCATTGAGGGCGCTTTCGGCGGTGGAGAGGAGTCCTCATGGGCACCACTCTGACTGGTTTGACTGTATGCAGTAAACTGTGATGTGCTGTGTATTTTGGCACCTTTCTACCATTGCCAGCATTAAGTTTTTCAGCAATTTGAACTACAGTAGGCCTTCTGTGATCGAACCAGACAGATTACCCTTCGCTCCCCATGTGCATCAATAAGCCTCAAGTGCCCATGACACTGACGGCCTGTTCACCGTTTGTCCTTCCATGCGTTACTTTTGGTAATTCCTAACCACTGCATACCGGGAACACCCCACAAGCCTTACCGTTTTAGAGATACTTTGACCCAGTCGTCTAGCCATTACAATTTGGCCCTTGTCAAACTCACTCAGATCTTTTTGCTTGCCCATTTTGCCTACTACCAACACATGAAATTCCATAACTGACTGTTCACTTGCTGCCTGATATATCCTATCCCTTGACTGGTGTCATTGTAACAATTTTGTTAAACTTATTCACTTCATTTCTCAGTGGTTTTAATTGTGTGGCTAATCACTGTGTGTGTGTGTGTGTGTGTGTGTGTGTGTATGTATGTGTATATATGTATGTGTATATATATATGAGATTTACATTTTTTAAATAATACCTTTAGATACTTTAAAAAAAAAAAAAATGCTGGCTTTCATGTTACAAGTTGAATGTAAACCTTAGCCACCCTTTTAAAAAAAAAAAAAAAATAGATCCCTGTGGCATACAGCAAAACAAAATGTGACTCTATTCTAAAACAGAACCCTGCACTATGCTGCCAGCTTCTTTTAGCATCCTGCATTGTTCAACTCAGTAGGAGTGTCTTCAGTAAATAAAGTTTGAAGCAAAACTCCAAACTCCATAATCATTAAAGCAAGCTCCAGTGGTTATGGTACTATAAGTGCAATGGCACACCCCAACTGAAGTAGTCAAACCGTTTCAGAACGGATTGTATTGCTGATCAATAATAAAAAAAACAACTCCAGGGAAGATCCCCTGAAAAAAATCTTAGTACCGCAACCCCGATTCACCCCTGCAAAAAAGAAAATCAAAGTCCTTTGGTTACTTACTTGGTAACACTATATGCATAGGCTATTTTGGCCTACGTTTTGAAATTCTACATATACTTAAAAAACGTATATGTAGAGTTGGGCTTGTTATAGAATAAATGAACAAAGGGTGGCATTAAAATGAAGAATGGAGAGATACGTGACTCTCCGAATGCCAAGACTTAATTTTCTAAAAGAGATCTGGTAGAAGCATCATAGTCACTAAAAAAATGTTCTTTGCATAAACTGGTTTAACCTAATACTTCCAAATACCATTATTTTAATTTACTGAAAATGGAAAGGAATGAGATTTTCACGTTAAATAAAGGAATAGATTTCATCTTTGAAGAAAAGATTTTTCAAATTGAGCTTGTCTACAATGATGATGAAATGAATATGAGAATGTGATTACTGTATACAAAGTATATTCAAGGTCAGTACAAGTCTCTTCATGCATTAGAAATGTATAGAGGATATTGGAACATTCTACAAGGTTAGATAAAACAACATTGCATGTTGAAGAAAGATATGTTTATTTGTTTTACAGTTAGGACAGTAAAGGTGTGTAATTCACTTGCAAATTAAGTTGTGGTTATTTCAGTCAGTGCTTTCAAAGAAATATATAGGATGCCTTCCTAACCATAGACCCATTAAGGGATAAAATAATGTAATGCAGAGTAGTTTCTGTGGCATTGATCTAGAAGAAATCTATTTGCTTTTGTTAACCCTTATTTAAAAAAACTGGAAAATGTCTTTTTTTGTTGTTGTTGTTGTTTCTGCCTTATTCTGAATTAAAGAAAAAAAAAGTTACATTATTTATTTTTCTTTTTATAAACCTAATTAACAGCACTATTGTAAGTAATTAATAGCAGAAACTAAAAATATTAACTCCGCAAAATAAACTACAGAAGACAGATTTATTTATTTTATTTTTATATTTACAGAAAATAAATATTTGTCTACTGTGTAAGAAGAAAGTTAAGGGAATTTATAAGGGTTTTGTTCTTACACTTTGCATGGTTTCAAGACCTCTTTGCAAAAAGAATAAAAAAAAAAAAAATCAATGTCATTCCATTTTTGTAGAAATATTGATATCTAATGGGTTTCCCTTGAGGGTGTCTAGGGGTTCTAAATAAATATGGCTGGCTGTGGGAATTTTTTTTTTTTTCCGTTTACAAACTGCTGAATAACTCTACAGAGCATGGTGCAATGATTTGCAGGCTCCACTTGCTGCTAAGGGTTACAGGACTGAAATGATTGAAGAAACGAGGAGATTTTGACAGTGCAAAGAGAAGGATAGGATGTATTCTACTGCCTGGTTTTAGGTTACAGCCTCAACCACTTCAGTTTTTTATCTTATCTTACAAAGAGCCCCAGAAATAGAAAGTATTTTTTTTCCTAGAGCTGGTACAGGGAAGAAAGACTGTTATGAATCTTGGCTGAGAAATCTGTCTATAAGCCAGTGGAGCCCAGAAGCTGTTCGGCGCTTGAATTTCATTCCTATTTATCCAGTAACGGTGACGACAGAGAGGAAAAAAAAAAATCTTTAATCAAATGCTTGGTTGCAAAGCATTTGTCTCTTAATTTCATATATATTTCCAGGCATTTTCATTTTCTTTAAAAGGTTGATCTCTGCTGTGATTTTTCTTTCATTTGCCTTGAAATATGCTTGCTGCAATTTTCTTCGTACTGTCCGTGAGAACTGTAAAAATCTCTCTCAGTTCCCAGTGCTAATGAATGACGATGCTAAGGTACCGAATTATTGTTCTGTCTACTGTTAATATCAATGGAAATCGAAATCGACGTGGGGGATTATAGCTTAGAATGGCACACAGGAGGACTGAGACGGCGTGCTTTGGGGTAGTGACGAAAAAAATTCGCAACATTTTTAGGCACTTTCCAAAGTCAAAATCATGGTCAGAGGGTCTACAGCTTTTTCCAACTCCCAACCGTGAGCTGCTGAGGAAGAAAGGTAAGTGGGAGTAATATGTTCTTCTTTTGCAGATGAGGTCATTGTTTGCTTGGTAAAACTTATGATGTGTGTTGTTCTGAAATGTATTATATAAGACAGTTGTAATCAAATCACTGTTACTAAAAACAGTTCTCAAATAATCAACATCGCAATCAATGTCTTCTCTTCCTGCAAGATCTGCCCTCTTCTTCTTATCTTACCAGATTATTTTCCTTACTCAAAACCATTACCATGGAGTTTAGTAACCAAACAGGTTGTGGTTAGATGAGCTCTAGTGTTAAATATGGGACAGAATATCAGACTTAGCCAGAATCATCAACTCACTTGAGTGGGTTTTTCCCTCATATAGTTTGGACTAAATTTTGTAAGTTTGTGGCCAACTCACCACTGCTAAGGAATATAATTAGCAAACAATGAGCATAAAATTGAGTTGAGTATCAGCTAAAACAGACAAATGGGAAAAATATCTTCCATCGTAGCCTGAATGTTGCAACTGTCTACTTACCACAACACCTTACACTCCATCGGTGATCTTAAACGTTATCAATTTTTTCAGGATATATTCTACGCTATCAGGGGTTTATTCCTATAACAGCAAGTTGCCAAATCATTATCTCCTCGATTTTAATATTTATGGATAAACTATAAGTATTTTTTCCCCAAAAAATATTAAATTTTGAAGGTACATCATAGACACCTAGACCTCTTCATCTCATTGAAGTGTTCAAAGTGCAGTGTCCCTGTTCCTCATGTTTACCCTGCAGGGTTAAGACTGCCTCTAGTGGCTCACTGCCAGAGACGCTTCCTGCATTTACAAGGAGTTTAACTCTGTGAAATGGCGTTGGACTTCCTCACGCTTTTCATGAGGTCCTGAAAAACCTCATAGGAAAGCATTGATTCAATAGGAAAGGAAGGCCTAGTGCACATGGCGCTCACCACACATGAACATTAGGTTTCCCGATCGCCGTGACATCTCGGGAGGAGGAGCCCAACTCAGCACCAAGGTACTTTGGATCTTCAATAAGGTATAAGCACTTTTTAAAAACCCTTTCTTGACTGGTGAAGTGTATAGAGGGGGGTGGTGGGGGTATAACTAACACTATAGTGTTCTTTTAGAATATTTTTCAAAGTATGACATCATTTTAAAAGTTAACCCAAAACTATTAAATGATTTAAAAAGCATATTGAAAAGTATTAAATAGAGATGTGTATTTGTGTCCATAAACTATTTTGGTCAGAATTTTGCATTTTGGATGAAGCCCTAAGAGTGAGTGATCATCTACACAGTGAAATAGGACTGGGTATGTCCCCTATATATTCATAGGATGCTCAAACACAAAATTATATCTCACCAAAACCTCACTGCTCATCTGTGGTTATAACTTAAGCAAACATAAAAATATATTATCTGGTGCAATAAATACCACTTTACTTTGGTTCTTAGTGTAAGAAAAGTATTTGCTATGAATTATTTTTGGTTTATTTATTACTGTTCAAAAATGGGACAGTGCACTATGTTTACAATCTATTAATGTGTTGCCAAGCTAATACCATGAACCCAATTTAGGGCTAAGCAAAATAAATAAGTAAATAGGAAGCCATGTCAGGCATTAATTTAAAAAATGAATTTGCTTAAAGGATTATTGCAATAACTGAATGACACCAATATTGAGTCTTAAACTAATATTTCAAGCAGTGAATGCTTTGAGCCAATGCGCTAAGTCCTGCACTGCATGCTAATAGTAGTAGTTCCTGCTCAGTAAATTCTGGCTCTCCAGCATTGTTCCTGGATACAGGGAGTGAAGTCCGTCACAGGGTCAGCTTTTGGGTGTGCATGTTGTGCAGCTGTAGAGGACGTCATGGCAACAGGTACGCCAGGCATCCTACACAGCTCACAGGAATTTGGTAACAGACAGAGGTCCCGACACCTAGAGGGGGCCCAACAGCTTGCCAAGTGAGATTCCCATGCAGTCTGGCCCCTGTAATGCCAGGAGGGAACTCAGCTTCTCGTCTGAAAATCCACTGGGTCCAGACCATGAGTAACTGTGTCCCGTGCTCTGGGCATCTTTGTCTGTGTAGCCAAAAATCCTTGAACTTACACGTTGAATACCTTAGAGGAAAAAAAACCCTATTTTTTATCAAACTTTCTAATCTCTTTGTTCTGGAATTATTAAGAATGGGAGGTTTTAAATAAGAGGTCAACGATGTGCGGCTCGTCTGCCTTATAAGCCCCACACCCTAAGTTCTCAGGCTCAAAAGAAACAATAAAATTATGGGCATCCGTCTCCTAGCAAGGCCAGTGTGAGCCAAAGATGGCTTGAATGTGATGTCACTTGGTCCCGGCATCACCACAAGGCCGCATGTGTAGGTGTGTGTGTGTGTGTATATATATATATATATATATATACATACACACACATACATACATATACTGCTGTTTGTGTGTGTGTGCTGTTAGTGCACTGTGTGAGGGTGCTGTGTGTGTGTGTAAGGGTGCTGTGTGTGTGAGGGTGCTGTTACTATGTGGGTGAGGGTGCTGGTATTGTACTGTGTGTGAGGGTGTTTGTGTATGTGTCCTGTTAGTGTGCTGTGTGTGTGAGGGTGCTGTTACTATGTGGGTGAGGGTGCTGGTATTGTACTGTGTGTGAGGGTGTTTGTGTATGTGTCCTGTTAGTGTGCTGTGTGTGTGAGGGTGCTGTTACTATGTGGGTGAGGGTGCTGGTATTGTACTGTGTGTGAGGGTGTTTGTGTATGTGTCCTGTTAGTGTGCTGTGTGTGTGAGGGTGCTGTTACTATGTGGGTGAGGGTGCTGGTATTGTACTGTGTGTGAGGGTGTTTGTGTATGTGTCCTGTTAGTGTGCTGTGTGTGTGAGGGTGCTGTTTGTGTCGTGTATTTGTGAAGGTGCTGTTAGTGTGCTGTGTGTGTGTGCTGTTTGTGTGCGGGTGCTGTGTGTGTGTGAGGGTGTTGTGTATTTGTAGGGGTGCTGTGTGTGTGTTTGTGAGGGTGCTGTTAGTGTGCTGTGTGGGTGCTGTTTGTGTGCTGTGTATGTGAGGATGCTGTATGTGTGTAGGTGCTGTGTGTGTGTTTGTGTGTGTGCTGTATGTGTGTGGGTGCTGTATGTTTGGAGGGATTGTGAAGGTGGGGGCAGATTAGTAAATAACCCCCCTCCCTTCTTACCTTATGTAGGGAGGGGGGATCCTTGCTGTCCAAGGAAGAGTGAACTCTAGCCTGCAGGGCTAGAGTTCACTCTAGCGAGATCTGAGCATTGCCGCGGCAACGCTCAGATCTTGCGAGAGGAACCTGGCGGAGCTTCTGTCTAGAGCTCCCCGGGTCCTTTCCTGCCTCCCTCCATGCTGCTGTGGGCTGGTGAGGTAGATATTTGGCCCATGGAGGCTTAGAACAGAGCCGGCACTCAGATAGCGCCAGCTCTGCAAGAGCCGACAGGGAAGATCCGGAGATCTCCCCTGCTGACAGGGGTCAAGTCTTAGGGAATAAAGTGTGGGAACTCTCCCAAGATTTCCCCCCCCCAACAAAAATTATATACACTCGTGTGTGTGTGTGTGTGTATATATATATATATATATATATATATGTGTATATGTATGTATATATATGTATGTATGTGTATATATATGTATGTGTATATATATGTATATATACGCGTACATACACACACACACACACACATACTCAGACTCACACACTTACAGACACACACACACACATACACACTTACAGACACATACATTCACAGACACACACACAGAGACACACACACACATACACACTCACACACAGACACACACAC